TACAACTCCCAACACACACACATACAAAAAAATTACAATCAATAGCATCTAAATAAATAACTTTAAAAAAAAAAAAGCAGAAAAAGAAACCTCTGATCCAAACAAGTACTCTCCTGCCATTTCCTTCAGTGAATGTGCAGAGGGACACAACTGGGACACATGTCCCAGAACACATCCAAGCAGCCTGTTCTTCACTCCTAGTCTTCTTAGGGGTGTCAGGGTAGGGCTCCTGACCTGCCCCTGAACAAAAAATGTAGAGGACCTCTTCATTGCTGCTTGTCCCTATGACAGAAGCTACGAAGAAAGAACAAGATCCTAAGAGGACTCACACAGTGGGCATGTCACAGTGCTATTAACTGACTAAAATGAAAAGGTGATACAACATGTGATGCACATTCCAGACTTTAGGTCACCAGACTGGCTTTTAACCTGCTAGCTGTACAATAGCTTCTCTGAGTTGTATCTACTGGCAAAAGGGAGTACTACAAGCCTTTCCTGTCATAGAATGACTATGAATATAACATGAAATGTTGGGGCTGGTCCAATAGCTTAGAGGACTAAAGAGCCTACTGAGGCAGAGCGCAGTGGCAGGGATTTGATCCCCAGTGTGCCATGCTGGCCCCACCCCTGGGGCGCTCTGAGATGGCAATTGAGACTGGGCATGGTGGTGCACACCTGTAATCCCAGCTCTTGACAGGCTGAACACAGGAGAAACACTAAGAGTCTGATCTAGTAGTGAGACCCTCTAGACCCCGTAGACCCTGTCCTAACTACAGAAAACAAAAGAAAAAAAACATGAAATGTTAATTTTATATCAAGAATTTAGCACTAACCTGGTTGACAGTACCAGGTGAACAACGTTTACTTATGTCATTATCTTGAAGAAAAGCAATGCTCACCATTCCTCTCTCTCCAGTCACAAAGGACAGCAGAGAGCAGTGAGTAAGTATTAGGAGCCTCCTTCAACTTGCTACATTCATTACTTCCCCTTGTCTCTGGCAGGCAGCTCTACTCTCTTCAACTGCACAATTAAGGAAGGCGGCACATCTTTTCTAGCCTCCTGTCTAAGGTCTAGCGTAAAGACAGCAGATCACTCTTTCCTAAGGGTGGAATTTGTCTGATAATAAATAATACTGAATCATACTATAAAAAGTTCTCTTTTCAATTCTCTTTCAATTTTTCTGATCATGTGAAGAGGAAATACTATTTGATGTTAGTTGGGGTTTTTAATACCTCTCATCTTTGCTAATTTCTTAAACAGAGAAATTGGAGGGGGGGACGATGAAATTGGGTATAGAAGCTTCTATGATAGGCCACAGAATATGGGATTTAATAATGTTGCTTTGTTGGTACTGTATTTCTATAATTACCTTATATAGCATAAGGTGACTTACATGTGATTTTCACACGTGACAGCAATTCAACTTGTAAACATAGAGCCAAGGATATAGCTGAAAAAAAATGAAGCAATGTATGTACTTTCACTGAATGAGAAAATGGGCAGTGAAGAAAAATATTGCCAGAGATTCATCTGCTGCAGTTCCAATCTAGTGCCTTTCAGCACTTACACTGGATGGCAGAATACTCACCTTTCTGACCCTGACTTCAAGTACTAAGTTAAATGAGAATCAACCTATTTGAAGACATCTTACCACATGAAATGTTAGGAAAAGCAAACCTTTATTCAAGAAATGTACCAAAAAAAAAAAAAAAAAGTCACATCACCCTGGCATAAGGCAAATTACAAAGGGACTTTTAGGGCTGGCGAGATGGCTCAGTGGTCTAAAGCACCTACTTAGAACAAGCTTAGCAAAGCACAGGGACCACGGTTCAATCCCCCAGCACCACATGCCAGCCAGCCCCGCCCCCTGGTGGCTGAACTGGCCACACACACACACACACACACACACACACATAAATAAAAAATTAAAAAACAAAAGCAAAAAAAAAAAAAAAAAAACCACAAGGGGACTTTTAGCTGGGAGTGGTAGTACAAGCTTGTCCCAGCACTCGGGAGGCTGAGGCAGGAGGACAGTTGTGAGTTCAAGACTAGCCTGGGATACAAAGGGAGGTCAAGCCCAACCTGAACTGCATAGCAACACCCTGTCTCAAAAAGATAAAAAAAAAAAAAAAAAAGTAAATACAACATCCAGCCAAAATGTATGGTTAGTGGTGTGGTCTGATAATCTTTAGGCCAGGGAGTTATCAGTGGCATAAGTGCCTGCCTAGCAAGCACAAGGTCCTAAGTTCGATCCTCAGTACAAAATAAATAAATAAACAAATAGAAAGGCACTTTTGACTTCTGCTACATAAAGCAGAATTCAGTAAATACCTAAGAACATTCCCCATCCTTCTAGTGGCAGGATGTAATGATGCCAGAAAATCTTAGGATCAAATGATGCGCGCTCTCACTAAGCAAAGCCTCAGTCTTGTCATAAATGATACCAACAGAAAAGTGCTCTATCACATGACAACAGTACCCATATAAGGGGCAGTATTAGCAAAAACAGCAAGGAAGGCCTATCTGAAATTCAAAGGTCACTCCCACTAAAATACAGCCTTCTCTATTACACTCATCATGTTATTTATCTGGGGCCTTAGGCCCACACCTGGTAAGTACATAGACAGGAAGAATCCTTAAGCCACACAGGAAATAGTATTATTTTACCTAGATTAAATCTGCCAACAAAAAGATACAGGGTAGCTACTCTAAATATTCTCTGTAGGCTCTTACTAAAAATATAAAAGTCCAGCATGGTCCCTTACTCCCACATCTGTCTGCTATTCTACCTCCATTAGTAATACTATAATGCAGACTCCCCACGCAGGAAAAGATCAGGTCCCTGTTCCCAAAGCCTTCTGCTGACATTGCATTACATCTATTTCAAAGCTGTAATGTCAGGTCCAGATACTGCTTGCAAAACTATGCCAGTGAGGAGATGAGGCCTCAGCTTCCAAGTTTAGTAGAGAGTATAGGAAGTTTGGTCAGGCCTGTCTCAGAGACTGCTATAGTCCAATAGTTAAGAACTCAGCCCAATTCAGTTCCAGCTCTTTCACAACCTAGACAAGAAACTGAGCAATTCATTTAACTCTTCAAGAGACTGTCCCGCCATCATTAACAGGCAGATAATATGAGAACCTGATAATACCGCAATGCATTGAACCCAGAAATATGGAAGATAGAACTGAAACAAGGGAAAAAGGTGATAAGTCATCATTTCTTCATCTCCAAAATCGATCTGTTGAGGTGGGAAAGAAAGAACCCTGATACTCTCTCAACCTAACCAAACAGCCACCACCAAGATGCAAAAAAGATGGTACAATCTAGCACTTAGGAGGCTAAGGCAGGATGACTGCTGTGATTTCAAGGCCAGCCTGGGTTATATAGTGAGCTCAAGACCCATTTGAACTACACTGTAAGAACTTGTCTCAAAAAAAGTGTTGAGAGACAGGAAGTCAAAAAGCAAAAAAATAGAAGAGGACATAACATAGAAATAAAATCAGCTTTTGATTAACTATGCTAATGAAGAAAAAAGAATACTACACTTACATCAAAGAAAAGAACCCCACTCTCAAGAGTACTATATAAAAACAAGCTACATGGTGGCATAAATCTGTAATTACAACTATTCAGGAGGCTAAGTCAGAAGGATTGCAAATTCTAAGCCAGCCAGGGCAACACTACGAGATCCCACCTCTAACACATAAAAAGGGCTGGCGGTACAGGTCACTTGGCCTACAATGTGTGAGATTCTAAGTTCTAAACTGTAAATAATAGTTCATTAGAAAACATGATACAACTGTTTAGGAAGAATGTGACAGTCCTTAAAGTAGTGTGCACTGTGAGCCCAGACTGCCTACAATGAAATTCTGCCTCTACCACTTCTAAGCAGTTACCAGAAGCAAGGTATAGAACCTCTGTGTCTTGGTTTCCTCGGGTATACAGTGGACTGCACATTAGTACTTACCAGTTTTACAATGGTGTGGATACTAAATTTGGCCGGTATGGCAGCATGGTCAGCTCTAAAGAAACAAAAACATCTCCTTGGTCAGGTGTGTTAATGCATGTCTGTAATCCCAGGACTCTAAGAGTCTGAGAGAAGAGAATCTCAAGTTTAAGGTCAGCCTAGATGTAGCAAGGTCCTGTCTCAAGACAAAAAATTAATGAGGCAGGGGATGTAGTGCAATGCAAAAGCCCTGGGTTCAATCCTAAGTACAGAGAGAAAGAAAAAACAAGAAAATAGTGAGATGTGGATGACAGAACCTGGGCTGTGGGAATATGAGTGTTGTAAATGTTTTCCTTATTTGAGACAGGGACCTGCTATGTAGTTAAGGTTGGCCCTGAACTCACTACCTAGCCTAGGCTGCTCAAACGCATGGCAATCCTCCTGACTCTGCCTCCCAAGTCTCATGATTATAGGCATGTACCACCACACCCAGCTATAAATGTCCTCATTCTGCTTTTCTGAAAATATCTTGTGGGGCTGGGGAGATAGCTCAGTAGAATAAGCACCTGCCTGGCAAGCTTAGGGGTCCCGAGTTCAATCCCTGGTACTGCAAAATAAATAAATAAATAAATAAGGTATCTTGTAATTAAATAATAATAATGAAACACGATATAATTAAAAGTCATTTTCTCTGAAAAAATAAAAATAAAGTATCTCCTACGGTAGAAGAACATGGATGCATCACCTCAAGTTACGGATCGTAGCCATGCTTCTGTCCTCTAGCTCAAACTCCAGAGCAAGCTTAGAAAAAACTGACGGCTTTGGAACTCTTGTTCTCCTCAGCACTTGCCTGTACGAGTGGAGCAATGCTCAAGTGCCATCTGGGCCACTTGGGCACAAGTAGATACAACAGAAGGCAGAGACCCAGAAGCCCACGTGAGAAGCATCAACCTCACAGGACTGATGCCATTTCTCCTGCTCAGGAAAGCCTCAGAAATAAGGCTCAAGACTAAGAATAGGCACGTAGAGGGTAGAAAGGTGAGACATACTCACTCATGGACTCTGTTGTCCCCATAGAGATCACTTAGGCCAAAGCTGATGTAGTGCCAGTGCTCAGGGATGTTGGCTGAAGGGCTCCCCACATTCCTGTACATGCTAACATAGTCCAAAGGGTCTGGGCCGCCCAACCTGAAAAAGATGAAATACAGGTGCATCAGTATGAGCCTAAACACCAGACATTGTCATGCCAAGGAGCTCTACTTCACAATCTTTAGGCCTCACCCTGGAGGAACCTGAAGCAAAAGACAAGGGAGGCTACACTTTTGGGAGCTGAGACCCAGGGAAGCTAACAGCTGAGAACATCCAATTTCACATGCACAAAAAGCTCCACTGGCAGGGCCTCTTTTAGAAATAAAGTAGACTTCATGGTTGTCTACAATGCTTTCTTCTGTTTCAAATTACCAATCCCAAGTGGACTGGCAGAGATGAACTCTTCTATGGTGCCTGTAAAAATGCCAAATTTCAAGCGAGAGGTGCAACCATCAAGTGGCCTGAGCTGAAGGACTACAAGGTCATCTCCAGGGACAATGTTCCTGGAAGCAGAGGCTCTGTTCCACTCCTGCCCATGAACAATTAATTTCTGAGACTTCACTAGTCCCTAACTTAACTACAATTTGTTGTAAACAACCTCAAAGCCTGCAGTCAGCAAAGTCCCAGCCTGCATCCCATAGACCAAAACTGATCTTTCATCATCACAAGTGACAAAGACCAAACGCAGGCTAGCTCAGCAATGCCCAGAGAAATGAGCAGGATACAGGCTACCCCAGTGAGAGCACTCCTCCAGAAGATGATCCCAGACACTGCTGTTTCACAGGAAGAGATACACCTTAAATGGATTTCATTAAATTTCCCCACAAGTCCAACAGGGCAGTCAGAAAGAGATTCAAGCATGGGTTCACTCATTGGTGTCATAACTAATGCTTCTAAAAAAAATCCTGTTTTTTCAAATGGACAGGGAAACCTGGTACACTTAAAAACAGACCTACAGGGTCGGGGAGATGGTTCAGTAGAATAAATGCTTCCCTGGCAAGTGCAACGGCCTGTGTTCAATCCCCGGTTCCACCAAAAAAAATAAAATAAAATAAAATAAAATAAAATAAAATAAAATCAGACCCAAAGGAAACCATCAGAAAAAAAAAAAAAAAAAATTGTGTTTAGCCCACCAACACTGCACCTCAGATATCTACCTCAGATATCTAACTTGTCAAAGGACTACAGAAACCTTGCCTGAGGGCTGGAATATAGCTCGGTGATATGGCACTTTGCCCAGGCCTGGAGTGCAATGGTGGGGGGGACACAACTTTGCCCCAGAGACAAATGGAGTGTACTGTACTAGTACATAGTTTGCTGAAGGGAAGCCAACAACCAAGAAAAACACATGCCATGGGAGACAAAAGTGTACCAGTATATGCAATTTAAACACTACTTAAAGCCAATAGGTCACTGGGGATGGTGGCACACATGCCTATTGTCCCAGCATGGGGGGGGGGGGGAGGCTGAGGCAGGAGATAGCCTGAGCTACCTAAAAAGATTTTATCTCAAGAAAACACAAATAAATAAAACAAAACAGTAGGTCAGTCTGGGGATGTTGCTCAACGCTAGAGCAGTTACCTAGCATGTGCAAGGTCCTGAGTTCAATCCCCAACCACACACACAAAATCATCATCAAACCAACAGGCCTAATTTCTTCATCTTTGCTAAAATATTACTTTTTTAAAGTCATTTTGAGACAGGGTCTCACCATGCAGTTCAGGCTGGCCTTGAGCTTACTTTGTAGCCCACCCTAGTCTCAAACTCACAGTGATACTCCTACCTCAGCCTCCGGAGTGCTGGGATTACAAGCATGTGCCACCATATCCAGCTTATTTGGGTTTTTTTGTAGAAATCCTTATTCTCTGCTGGGAAATGGTAAGTTATTTATAGAATTTGTAAGAAAGTTGCTACAAATAGCTCAGAATCTCAAATGAGTTAGAGAAAGGGATAAATTTTCATCTGCCCTTAACTCTGATTTCACCAAATCATTTGATTAAACCATAACCCGCTGAATTTAGAGAAGTTTGTAGAGGGAAGGAGGAAAGAAAAGGAGAAAAATCCTTAGAAGAACCCATTATACCTGCAGAACCACAGAACAGAAAGGACCATAGGCCTCCCAGATGCTCCAGTTTTCTGCTACAAATCTGCACCTGCAGGGTCAGGGAGACAGTTCAGCGGAATAAGTGCTTCCCTGGCAAGCGCAAGGGCCTGAGTTCAATCTCCGGTTCCGCAAAAAAAAAAAAAAAAAAAAAAATGTACCTGCATAACCTACAGTCTAGGCCCAAGAGTTTTGAAGCAGCAAAACTCTTCACCATCTCCTGTCCACCTGCCACACACTCACTATGGCTTTTATTCTGACTAAATCTTCCAGGACAGGTGCTTCCCAGGAGTCAGGGAATGTTCCCAAGCCCAGCGGTATTTTGCTGTATTGCTCAGGCTCAGATGAGTATGGCAATCATTTTTACACTTAGAAAAGGATGTTCTCCAAGGACCCAGAGCCACCTCACCATAATTCCTTGGATATGGACTTCTCTACATAGGACAGGTTCTAGAGTGGACCCCGTCAGGTTTTGCCTCTCTAGTATGATCTGGCACATTAAAGACTCAGCTTTCAGTCAAAATGTCCCTGCTAGCCAGGGACCACTAGCCAAAAAGCCAGCTCTCCACAACAAATAGAATCCCAAGATACTTCAGGCCACATTCAGCCCCAGGCAGCCTGGGCTAGTTTCACGTACAGAGGTTTGTGGGTCCCAAATATGGGTTATGAATAAATTTCAGTACCTTAACTTCACAAGCCCCTCCATATCTTTTTTTTTTTTCCCTCCATATCTTAGAACCATTCAGTCACTGGGGCTGGTGAGATGGCTCAGTGGTCTAAAGCACTTACTTAGAACAAGCTTAACAAAGCAGAGGGACCACGGTTCAATCCCCCAGCACCACATGCCAGCCAGCCCTGCCCCTTGGTGGGCTGAGCTGGCCACACATACATACACACACACAAATAAATAAATAAATAAATTAAAAAAAAGAACCATTCAGTCACTGAGCTATTCCCTCCCATTGTCCTGTATCAAGGCAGCATTTTTAATTTCACAAAGTGGTATATAATTCTCCTCATCATTGCATGCTGGTCATCTAGGAAGAAATGGCCTGGCTAACAAGCTTGCAGCAAGAATAAAATAATTATACTAATCATCTTTAGTTTAGTCCTTTACATAATGCTTAGATACCTCTTACAACCCCATACTGGATGCCCACTTAAGTGACACAAAAACAGTTGCTCAATTCTGTGCAAGAACTTATCACATTCAAATGACACCTGAACAAACAGCATAGCAAAGACAGCCCCACTTTCCTCAAGTCCATCACAACACGGTTAAATCCATAGATGCCATTAAGGCCAGCTGCATAGCTCAGCGGATTTTTTTTTTTTTTTTTTTTTTTTTTTCTTTTTGTGGTACTAGGAATTGAACTTAAGACCTTGAGCTTGCCAGGCAAGCACTTATTCTACTGAGCTCTCTCCCCAGCCCAACAGGTCAGCAGACTAAAGTGCTTGCAGAGCACAGCCGCCCCCAGGGCACGCTGAGACTACAACTGAGACTGGGTTTGGTGGCATGCACCTGTAATTCCAGCGCTTGGTAGGCTGAAAACAGGAGAATTACTGTGAGTCTGATCTATGTAGTGAGATCCTGTAGACTCTTGTAGACCCTGCCCTAAATATAGGAAAAAAAAAAATCCATTGGTGCCATCAGAACAGGTGATTAAGTTGCAAGAGCTGCTTTCCACTCAAAACTGCTCTTCAAACACTCCTTTATGTCAGCCCAATGTGTTGGCCCAGACCTGTAGTCTGTAATCCCAGCGCTCAGGAGCCTGATGCAGGGCTGAGGACATGGCTCAGTAGAATAAATGCTTGCCTGTCAAGCGCAGCCAAAAAAAAAAGGAGGCTGATGCAGGAGGAGCACAAGTTCAAGGCCAGCCTGGGCTACAAAGTGAGTTCAAGATCAACCAGGACTACAGAGCAAGACCTGATCTCAAAAATAAATAAATGAAAACTCCTTTGTACCAAAGAACAGTTTGCCTGCCAGAGTAGGGTGCTGCAAGCCATACTGCCTCCTGGCTACCCAGACAGAAGAAGCTGCACCCTCTGGCCCCTCTTGGGGAACCAGCAGCTGGTCCCCAGGCCCTTTTCAGTCAGTAAGAGGCTGCCAACAGAGAGGACAGACTCAACCCTAAAAGAACAGTAATCAACAAAGCCATCCACTTTCCCCTTCAGTTCTACCCTCTGCCTACACCCCAAGCAGCTTCTCAGGCTTTCAGCATCCTTAAGGGATCATCTATCCCAGTGACTTCATGAAAGTGGTCCTGGACAGATTTCACCAATTCTTCATTCAGTTTTTGGTATGAGAAGACCATACACAGGCCAGGCTGTTTTCATGGTCCCTGTAACACCTGTTTTGCCTGGACGGTGAAGGAAGAAACAGATTCCAAACAGGGATGAGAAGCTAGAAAAGTCCATTCCTCCCAAGGGCAGAGCCCATCTGTAAACTAATCTTTAACAGCACCCTGGGGGTTACCCTGGGTGTCCCAGAGAAACTTCTGTCTGCGTCCTGAAGCTGTGGACAAAAAGTTCCTCTTAACGTCTTTCTTCTCTCCCTGCCCGGAGCCCGGGTCTCCATCATTTACTTCCCACTGAAAGTTGGAAGCTCTCACCCTCCTTAATTCTGAGCCAAATCAAGGCTCTGCCTGCCGCGTTCTTGACTCGCGTCCTAAAGCAAAGCAGCTGTAAAGCCAGAAGGAAGCTCACAGAGAGAGCGAGAAGTGTGCAGAGTAAGCAAAAAGTTTATCAAGGAGAGTTGGTCCGTCGGACTTTAACAGCCAACAGCCTCGAGCGACACACTTCCAGCTCGGCAGGAGAGTATCAAGAGGCGCCCACCTCTTTCTCACCACCGTCTTGCTCCCCTCCCGACGCGCAGCAAAGCGCAAGGCCCCAAGACCCGCCACAGCCTGTGCAGTCTCGGGCCTCCTCGGGAGCCCTCCCCGGCCCGCCTCGCCGCCGCTCGGCTTCCCCTCGCACACTAACGACCCCCACGGGCGCCCCTCCTTTCACCACGTTTACGGCGAGCGGCCTCTCACACCGCTCCACTCCGCTCCTACACACCCCCGTTCTCTGTTCTCTTAAGCCCGGTTAACCCCTCACTACCCGCGGCCCGTTAACCCCTTTGTCCCCATCTCCAACTTCAGCCCTAACTCCTCCCGGCGGCAGGAAGTGCTCTTTCCAAGTGCTTTCGCCCTGTCCGCCCCCACCCGGCGAGCCCACCCTCCCCGCCGCCCGCGCTCACCAGTACTTGACGATAGCGGTCACCTGGAGCGGGTTGGGCTGGTCGGGGTAAAGACGGCGGCACTCCCCGTAGATGGCGTGCAGTCCGGGGGGAAAGAGCGAGGCGAAGGCTGGCGGGGCGGCGGGGCCGGGGGCCGGGGGCGCGGCGGGGCCGGGGGCGCCGCTAGGCCGCAGCTCCGCCATGGGGGCGCGTGGGGCACTGGGGGGCCTAAAGCGAGGAATAAGGGGCGCCCCGACAGTCCAGCGGGTGGTCTCGGCGGGCGAGACTCCGGGTGGCGATGGGGGGGCTGCAGCGAGGGACAGCTCCGCGCCTGCGCACGCGGACCGTTCGCCCAGGCCGTCGCCGCCTCGCAGTCTGCCAGAGGGCGCCTCCGGACCTCGGGGAGCGCGAGGGGCGGGGCCCGGCTCACCCTGGCCGAGCACCCATTGGCTAGCGTGTTTGCCAGTCATAGGAGGGACGGCATAACGCGCTAGTAGGCCCCGCCTCCCCCTCGCGCCTAGGGAGCAGCGGAGGTTTCTGATCTCCCCCTAGCGTTGGGAGGAACCCGGCGGTACCCGAGCCACGGCGCTCTGCCGAGGTGCTAGGGTCGCAGCACGCGCGCCGACAAAGAGCCCCGCCGCTTCGCTGACGCGCGGCTGACAACGCCCTAGACACAAATCGGACAACGCACTGATCATTTCTTCCTGTAGCATTCCTTAGATTATAAATCTCAATATGATATTTCCTAGTGCTGTTGACTAAACAACTCCTGAAACTCAAAAGGAGGTTGAGGAGGAAGTAATAGTCCCCCCTCCAAAATACGAGTTATTTTGAAAGATGTACTCGTAACTTTTCTTCACCTCTATTTTCTCACCAAAATCAGTCCTAGCTCTTCACCAATAGTAGAGGGACCTTAGAGCAGTTCTTAAACCCTCAGCTGTTTTAATGGCCCACAGTAGCAGTTCCAAATACCAATCCCCTCGGTTCACTTGTTACAACGTTTATACTTATCTAGGAAAGAAATGGGAAAAAGCAAGGACAATGCACAGGGTTTCTCCACCCCCCCCCAGCTAAATTTACGCAATATAAATTATTTTTCTTTTAGGAAAACGTCCTTCATCTGTGTGTGCTAAAATTTCCTCTTAGAATGTGAAATGCTAAGATGTTTACTTGTGTCTTATACACCCAAACAAAAATTGTCCCAAGAGAAGGGGGCAGCAGCAGGACTGATTTCTAAAACCCAAACACCACCAGTTACGGGCTAACCCAAACCCACCCACAGACTCAGAACTGCACGCTTCAGCCCTTTAAAGGGACGACACATTCTGGCACGCAACACAACCATCAACTTTTGTCTCGGGTAATTTAATCCGTGCGGACTGCGAACCCCGCGGCGCCGCGCTTGGAAACGCCTCGCCCAGACTCCCGAGGCAGGCGGAGCCCGGCGCGGCGGGAGGCTCGCCCCGGCACAAGGCACGCCGGGGATGGTAGTTCCTGCGAGGCGGGCTGGGACCGCTCCCTGCACGCACCGTGCCGGCGGCGGGACTGCGCATGCGTGTCCCTGGCGTTGGCGGCGGACCGGGCCGGCAGTGCACTCCTCGGAAGGAGCGATCCGTCTGCCATGGAGTCCTACGACGTGATCGCCAACCAGCCTGTTGTGATCGACAACGTGAGTTATATCTTTTCTGCCTCTAAGGAACTTGTGCCGGTCTCTCAGAAGGGATGGCTTCCCGGGTTTTACGCTGGGCGGCCGATTCTTTGTCACTGCCCCGGCCTGTCAGGCGGGTTCCGGTACCGCCGCCTCTCTCCTTCCCTTTTCCACAGCCTTCAGGCGGGATGGTCGCGCAGCGACCGTGGGATTGAGAACTTAGAGGTGGGAAGAGGAGATGGCTCTAGCCTGAGCGGGGGCCTGAGGCCGTTGGCTCGAGGGGCCTTAACCGCTTTGCAGACTGGCGCCCACCCCCTCCCTGGGTTCCAATCACTCCATTGGCTGCGTGGGCTGCCCATCTTGTCTGACGACCCCACCTCTGGGCCTTGCCGGAGGCGGGGAGCGCTCTGCAATTATTGGCTCACGCGCCTGTCGCTCTTCCCGCCGCGCTAGTGTTTCTCCGTCTGGGGGGCGGGGCAGTCCCGAGGGCCGTGGGGATTGGCCTCCGGACTCCGGCGGCGGGGCGGAAGGCGAGGGTGCGCCCTTGGACCGCGGAAGGTGGAGCGCCGGCGGCCGGAGTGGACCCGGGTGGGGCCCGGGAGTTGGCGCCGCAAGCTGCCGTGGGATGGCAGTTATTTCTGTGATTGTAGTTTGTAGTTAATAAAAGTCGAGAGGAATGGGGAATGATACAGCAAACGGGTGCCTGCCTGGTCGTTTCAGGAAAAATTACCACACCCACCGCGTTTGCCGGGTGCTTTGCCGCTTCAAGGACACGCTCACCTACGTTCGCGCTGGATGCTCACAAAAACTGGGTGGATAGTTAAGTTTGATTCTCGTTTCTCAAGTGAGAAAACCGAAACACGGGAAGTGACCCCAAGGTCACACGGTAGAGATGCCCTAAATCCGCTGCCTTATTCGCCATTCCCTTTGCTTAGCACCCCCACAGAAATGCTCCAGTAATGATAAATAGAATTAAAATATTCCTGTGGAGGGTGGGATGAGGGAACAATTGTGTTCCGTTTCTCTGCTCCCTTAAAGTTTTGGGCTGGGTGAGACTGGTTCACCCCCCCCGCCCCTTCCAGGTCCGTCAAACACCAGTTCCTTTGGCATCAGGCTATCAGGGACCGCTCTGTTGATCTAATCTTGGCACCTGAAGATAAGATGAAGTTTTTTACATCACTCTATTTAAGATTCAGCTCTGGTAAGGAGAGAGGAATTATTTCCCCCAGTTTGCAGGAAAAATTATTGAACTTGGAAACATTATTCAAAACACCCCATTTGGGAGTTTAAGAATCAGCTGGACCCTGGTATAGTCTAATCCCAGCACCCGGAGGCTGAGGCAGGTTTGTGAGAGTTTGAGCCAGCATAAATTACATAGTGAGGCACTATCTTTAAAAAAGGAGTTGGGCCAGGGAGATGGCTCAGCGGCACAAGCGCCTGCCTGGCACGCCCAAGGCTGCGAGGTCGATCCCTGGTACCTCAAAATAAACAAATGAGGAGTTGAGGGACCAAGATTTACCCTGAGATCTTGTTTCACGTTGCTCACATTTTCTACAGAAAGATGTTTTATTTGTTGGTAGTTTTCCTTCTCTCCAGAAGTAGGGTGTCTTCATTTTAAAAGGCAGGATTTAACTCAGTGAGACACTTTTTAAGGGGTAAAGCATGTATTATTCATCATTTTAAAATAATTTTTCAATTTTTGTTAGTGGCTTTTTGCAGTTCATGATGATTATATTCATCGTGGGGATTGCACACTGTACATAACACATTAATTTCTGAGAGGATTTTTCTTTTTTCTTTTTTTGTCGGAACTGGAGATTGAACTCAGGCCCTTGTGCTTGCCAGGCAAGAGCTTATTCTACTGAGCCATCTCCCCAACCCCAAATGTCTACTTTTGCTTTTTGGGAATGTCTCCAATTAAGGAAACACTTTTTTTTTCCTTTGTATTTTAGGGCAGGATCTGTAAGGTCTCACTGCGCAGATTGGATTTGTGGTTACACTTATGTTTACAGCCTCCCAAGTGCTGGGATTGCAGCTGCGAGCCACCACGCCCACTCAGTCACCTCATCTGCCCTGGGGCAGGGCCAGCACCCAGGCCGGAGAAACACTCCTGGGCCCTTAATCCACTGAGCTATTCGGCAGGCCCTCTGGGAGGAGTTTGTCTCCTTTCTAAACTACTAACTGTCTGTGTAAAGATGGTTTTATTTTTATAGTGTCCCCTCACCTCGCCTCTGCACACACCGACCCCAGAGGGCCGAGGAGCGCAGTGTGCTCAGCGAAGCGTTCTTGTTGGATTGCGAGGTGAAGAGCGGTCCCACAGTAATGAGGATGTCCCTGTGTTAAAAAAAAAAGGATGAAGTACTTTCCTTAGTTAACAGTCCAGAGGGTTGAATAGGATTCCGTGTTCTTCATGTTGACTCCAGAGAACATTATTTCTGTCTTTACCCAGTGTCTGCATCCTCTTATCTACTTTTTGCTTTGTTGTAAAAAGAAAAATGTCAGGCATAGTGGTGCATGCCTGTAATCTCAGCACTCAGGAGGCTGAGGCAGGAGGATCACCATGAGTTCGAGGCCAGCCTGGGCTATGTAGTGAGTTAAAGACCAGTCTGAACTACATAGCAAGACCCAATCTCAAAAAAGAAAAGTAAAGCTATTTAGAAACCCTTAATTTCCTGTTGTCATCAGCAGTGTAGAAGGAGCGGCCTGTAGCTTACTGTTTCTTTTGCATTGTTGAGTTTGCGTGGTTGGCCAGGGTTGTTATCTCCAACCATTTCCTTTAATGTCATTTAAGCTGATGTTTCTTAGTTGGACCTTTATCTTTCCTGAGAGTACAGTCAACTGTCCATATCCACTTTCTATATCCATAATTCAAACAATGGTGGATCAGAATGTTTTTAAAGAAAGATTACGTCTATACCACACAGGTGCAGACTTCTCTTGTCATCCCCAAAACAGTGCAGCACAACAGCAGGTTATATAGCATTTACATAATATTAGGTTTTATATATCTTGCAGTACTGGGGATAAAACCCAGGTCTTTCACAGTGACCTACACCCCATCCCTTTTTTTAAATTTTAAGATAGAATCTCACTAGAGTGCCTAAGCTGCATGTGAACTTGGCCATCTTCCTGCCTCAGCCTCCCAGAGTGCTGGGATTGCAGGCACACACCACCACTCTTGCTTCCTTCTGTATTAAAACTACTCTTCTCATCCTACTCTGACACTAGGCCAGTTCATCAGAATGTAATAAGGAAAATGGGGGGGTGGGGGGTGCTTTAACAACAACAAAAAAGTGATAATCGTAATCACAGATATAGAGAAGAGCAGACGGTTTATTCTGAAGCTTAAATCTGTGTTAAGATCTCAAAAGATGCATTTCTGGGCCAACATAGCCCACCACTCTTGTCTGTCATAGCACTGTCTTTGTGCGCCATGGGCCTCCATGCAGGAAGTGTCCAGTCTTCAGAAGTGCATCAGAAGGCCGGGGAGATGGCTCAGTAGAATAAGTGCTTCCCTGGCAAGTGCAAGGGCCTGAATTCAATCCCTGGTTCTGCAAAAAAAAAAAAAAAAAAAAGTGCATCAGTAAGCTGGGGTCCATTGGGATTTGAGGGTGTTGTGCTGCTTCAGACACTTCAAACATAAAGAAGAATTCAAAGATATGTATCACAAGTACCCATGTAGCAGACATCTATCCCAAGTAGTTCTGGTGGACGTTCTGGTGTTGCTTTCAGTCCTGGGCATACTGAGCACATACTGAGCAAATGTTCTACCACTAAGTTACACTTCCAGCCCTTTTCATTGATATTTGATGCAGGATTTCACTAAATTGCCCAGGCTGGCATTAAACTTGCAATGTTCTGCCTTAGCTCCCCACATAGCTGGGATTACAGGCAAATGCCACTATGCCTAGCATCCACCACCCAGTTTTCATAACTGTTCTATAGTGAGAGCTATGTAGCTAGACCCAGTCTCAAAAAAGAAGAGGGGGCAAGGATATAGCTCAGCAGCATAAGCGCCTCCCTGGCAAGTACAGGGTTCCAAGTTTGATCCCTGGTACTGGGGAAATAGAAACAGAGATAGAAAAGACAGACAGACAGACAGACAGACAGACAGACAAAGCAAGAGAGCAAGAAAGAGATTAAAGAAATGAATGTTACCCTTCCAGATGTCACTGTCTGGCCAGAGCTGAAGAGAGAGCTTAGCCACCTCCCTTCCCACTGGCCCAGCAGGCGTACCGGGACCACAGGGACAAGCTGGGTCTCGTTCCAGCTTACTCATCCATCCAGAGTTGCTCTTCCCTTTCCTGTGCCTCCTCTCCCTGGGGCTGCTGCCATTCTGGCTCCTCATTCAGGGTCCACACTTCACATTTTGTCTGCTAGTCATTTTCACTTGCTTTTAACCTTAGCTGGCTGCATCTATTGAGTATCCAGCAAATGCCAGATATTATCAATGTATGAAGTCTCTGACTTCAGGAAATGCGCACTGAGAAGAAATAAAGATGGAAACCGTAAACTCTGAAAGCAGAGTGAGACCCGTGCGACCTTGCAGTGTAGGTTCAGTGACAGGCTGCACGGTGATGGTGAGCGTTTTCGAGACAAGTGCCCGCTGCAACCAAAGCTCACCAGTCTATTGCAAAGTGCCAACACCACGATCAAACCTGAATACTGAAGTTTTAGCTTCAAAAAAACAATCCATATATTAGCATCTTTTGTCTTGAAAGGAAAACAGCACCATGCAGCACCACGGGGCTGTGAGATGTGAGGGAGTCAGTAACAGACACCAGCTCGCGCTTATTCTTTAGGAGGAAGGTGGTGACATTTGAACTGGGCCTGTTACGCTCAATCTGGGAAGGACAGAAAGGAACAAAAGAATCAGACATCTTCATCTGCCTTGGCACTCAGTATTCGCATCTGGTTATGCTTCTTCTTACATGCAAAGATCAGAGCCAGGCATAGTAGTGCCTGCCTGTAGTCCCACCGCTTGGGAGCCTGAGGAAGGAAGATTGCCTCTCGCTTGAGGCCAGCCTACATATTGAGTGCAAGGAAAGCCTGCACTGTGTAGCAACACCCTGTTCCTCCAAGAAAGAAAAGACAAGAAATGCAGGTATCCAGGAAAACCAGCCCTTCAAAACAGTCACATCAGAAGTACTTCTTTTGTTTTCCCTTACACCTGGAGATCCAATTAATTTGTTGGCATCACCACAGCACAGTGAAGGCAGTGAGCAACCACGGGAGATGTGAACAGACAAGTTCTCGCCCCTCTCTTGCGTGGGGCTGTTCTGCCTATCCGTGCCCTGGTCCAGTCCCAGAGCCCTGAGGTTTGCAGTAAGAAAGTCCCTCCTCCCCCTCCCCCTCCCAGGCTTTCAGCTTGGTTCACAGCTGCACCTTTGCCAGGCTCCTTGCTGTGCTGCCCAGGCCAGTGACCTTGCACGTTGTCTCCTGTTTTTTCTTTTTTTCTAGCAGAGGTTCCTACTCCTTTTGAGCATGAGACTGGCCCTGCCCTCCCCCATAGTGCTTGCCTGTCCTCTCACCATTTCTTGCTGCACCTACCCCAACCCTCTGCCTTGCCAGAGGCAGGCACCAGAATGGCCAGTCTTCTGCAGTGTCTGCAGAAGAGCAGAAATGAGGGTAGAAGGACTGGGTGTGTTGGTGGGAAGCCTTGGCTCCCTAGCATCTCCACGTGTGTTGACCACTCATTCTGCGGGACCTGGAAGCATCACATTCCACCCAAGAGACATGTCAACAGGCAGCAGAAAAGAGCCTCCTACCCCCTAAGGGCTAGGGATATAGCTCAGCGGTACAGTACCTATCTGGCAAGCATGAGGTCCTGAGTTTGATTCCCAGTTTGAAGAAGAAAAAAAAGAGTTTGCCCCAATTACACATGCAACTGAAAATCATGTTGGAGTAAAGGGTAAGGGTTACCTGTGTGGTGGTAGAAAAGTTAAAAAGAAAGTACTCTCAGGCCTTGACGTCTGTCCCTCATCAGGTGGTTGGTTTCTATGTCTAGAGAGTCAATGTTTATGACCTTTCCGCATCCCAGAAGGTCAATGCTGGTTGCAAAACTTGGATTCTCTTCTAGAGATCCCACCAGCATGCTAAGTGTTAGAGCCAGCAGAATTGTGGGTTTCCCACCACCAGACAAGGCTTTAGGGTTTCTCTGTTCTTTACCATTAGAAGACTGAGGAGTAAAAGAATAGTGAAAATAAAACCATAAACTGGGCATGGGGGGGGGCCGGGTTGATGGCTCAGTGGAGTAAGCGCTTCCCTGGCAAGGGCAAGGGCCTGAGTTCAATCCCCGGTTCTGCAAAAAAGAAAAAAAAAAAAAAAAAACCCCACAAACTGGGCGTGGTACTGTACACCTGTAATCCCAACACCCAGAAGGCAGAGCCAGGAGGATCACTGACAAATTCAAGGTCAACCTGAATTATATAGCAAGACCCTATCAGAAAACTAAAGCCTAAGCCAAAACCACCCAACAAACAGTACATAGTCAGTCTCCACAAAGCCGAAAGCTCTACCCGAGCAGGCAGTGTGTGGTCAGGACTGAGCCATGTTGGAGGCAGCCCTGGAGAGAGTTGTGTTGAAAGGATACCATGCTGGTGTGATTAGAAAGGGTCCTGTGCTTCCCCTCCCTGGGTATGTTCTTGAACTTGGCTTCTTTGACACTCCCAGGTTCTTTCCTCTTCTTAGGTTTTCTTTTTCTTCCCTTTATTAATTCCAAAGGAAATCATGTTTAGTATAAAAAACTCAGAGTCTGCAGAGAAATCAAAGACTTTGTGAGTGTGCAGCGGACACCCTCTCCATCCCCGCGCCTTACCCCTCCCTGGACATTCTCCTGCCTCGGCTCCTGCACAGCTGTGTGTTATATGCCCACATCATGCAAAGTTCCTCACTTTAGTGATAGTTCTTTTTTCTCTCTCTCTCTTCTCAGGGATCCGGTGTGATTAAAGCTGGTTTTGCTGGTGATCAGATCCCAAAATACTGCTTCCCAAACTAGTAAGTCATTCTGTAGCTTATCCAAGACTTTGGGAGACCAGCCCTCCGTTTATCGGAAGATTTCTTGCTCCGGTCAGCCCTGATACTTCAAACAATGACAAGCAAGGAGAGGTGTTTGGAATAAGCAAAGGAAACAGTTGCTGCCTGGTGTCATTTGTAAGGCCTTAGGCAGGCAGTAGGCCTTGTTTTTAAATGTGATTTATGTGCCGGTAAAATAGCTCAGCAGAATAAGCACCTGTTTTGGCAAGCACAGGGACCTGGGTTCAATCCCCAGTTCTGCAAAAAAAGAAAAATTTTTTTGAACTAGGTGTGATGGTGTACAGCCTTTAATCCAGCTCTTGGGAGACTGAGACAGGAGAATCAAAGCAAGTCCAAGCCTAGCTGGGGCACATAATGAGAACCTCTCTCAAAAAAGTATCTTACCTAGGTGGTGTCACATAACTGTAATCCCAGCACTTCAGAGGCTGCAGTGGGCACATCCTCAGCTTGAAGCTAGTCTGGGCTACATGGTCGGTGATAGGACGTTCAGAGTTTACCTCGGCTACATAATGAGACCCTATTTTCTGACCTTTTCAGTCTGCATACACATTGGGAAAGAAAAACATTGAATCCTCTATTGTTTCAATAATTTAAAGTATGAAATAACATATAAATCAAGTATGTCCCAAAATGGGGTGTGGTGGCACATGCCCGTAATCCCAGCTCTTAGGAGGCTGAGGCAGGAAGATTGCTACAAGTCTGAGGCCAACCTGAGCTACATAGTGAGTTCAAGGCCAGCCTGAATTGCATACTGAGACCCTGTCTCAAGTAAATAAATTAGTTCTTTGTAGAAACTATAGAAATTAAGTATAAGGAGCTGAGCATAGCTCAGAGATGAGCTCGGTAGAATTTGGATGTGTGTGCATCTCTATGTATACTCTTCCGTGTCTGTCCTGAAGTGACACTGCTCTTCCTTCCTGCCTTCCCCAGTGTGGGCAGACCCAAGCACGTTCGTGTCATGGCAGGCGCCCTTGAAGGAGACATCTTCATCGGCCCCAAAGCGGAGGTAAGACCAGCCTTCCTTACAGAAAGCCTCGGACTAGCAGAGGACCTCATTATCCACCACACAAGAAGTACCCAGTAGTCGCATGTTAGCCACGAGCAGAATGAGCAGTTTTCTCTTAGAATCTCCCTTTTGGTCCTTTCATCCTTGACAGAGGCAGTTTATTTCTCCCAAGGGCATTAAGGAATAGTGAGAACCTCACTTTGGGAGGCAGAGACTGATGCAGAAGACAAGGCTTTGCCTCTTCTCTGTGGCCACTTGCTACCTTGCCAGCGATCCAGTTAATGGGCTTGATTTTTTCTTGGCAACAGTGGTTCACAGCGGAGACCCTAGCTCCCCTGCTGTGGGTAAGCTAATTTGCACACGTCTGGAAACCACAGGCAGCCTCTAGTAAGAGCCACAGGACCTTTGTGCCCACCCTGAGGCCAGAGGTGAGGGCCAAGAGGTCGCATCCTGGAAGCAGACAGTCCCCTTCCCTAGGGCTCTGAGGGCCATCGACATGTAGACGCCCTCTGTGTTGCAGCTGCTTGGGCAGCAGGGGCAGAGTGTGGCACAGCCTGAAGACCTGGAGAGCGATGCCCACCTTTTGCCCGGGTACCAACTGCAGGAAGGGACCTTGGCTGAGGCGCCTGAGGAAACAATTCAGCTTGCAGGCTCAGGCCTAGAGAAGCAGTGTCCTCTGCCTGCTGCTGCAAGTCCCACCCTCTACCCACAGGAGCACCGAGGGCTGCTGTCCATCCGCTACCCCATGGAGCATGGCATCGTCAAGGACTGGAATGATATGGAGCGCATCTGGCAGTATGTCTATTCTAAAGACCAGCTGCAGACCTTCTCAGAGGAGGTGAGGGCTGCCCGTGCAGGGCAGAATGCTATCCCAGAGATGAGGAGGATAGTGAAGCTGGCAAAAATGTCTGGATCTTATCGGATACCAGGCACCAGGCCAAATGCTTCTCAGACACCTTCAAGCATGTGACACATACAACACCCCCCATGCTCAGACACAGGGACACACGTGTACTGACACATAGAATGATAAATCACAGATTGCTGCCGAGGACAACTTGACACCCTGTATCTCACACCTGATGACTTGGTACACAGACTTCAACAAACACACTGACCTAGTATTCCTTAACACTTAAGAATGTGACCTAAGTAGATTGTGACACACAAATAGAGACCCATGTAACGGCCATATCACTCACAGCACTGTCAGACCATGCCAGAAATCACAATGTCCTGGGACATTCTCACACTATATTAAAAACACCAAAGGGGGGGGCGGGGAGATGGCTCAGTGGAATAACGCTTCCCTGGCAAGTGCAAGGGCCTGAGTTCAATCCCTGGTTCCGCCAAAAAAACAAACAAACAAACAAAAACACCAAAGGGCCAGCAGACTAAGCGCCTGCCTAGGCAAGCACAGGGACTGGGGTTTGATCCCACACGTGCCTGTAATCCCAGCACTGGGGAGGCTGAAAACAGGAGGATCACTATAATTCAGAGCTACATAGTGAGACCTTGTACCAAATACATTCCGTAAAAATAAAAAAACACCAGGATGCAGGCAAGGTAGACTACACCTGTGATCCCAGCAATTGGGAAGCTGAGGCAGGAGGACTGCCATTTTCAAGGCTATATATCATTTTATCATAATTTGAATTTAAACAAAATGTTTTGTGTGGGGGAGGGGCGTAGTGCTGGGGATTTAACCCAGGCCCTTTTTTTTTTTTTATTTTTGACTTTGAGACAGAGGCTCCCTAAGTCAGTAGGCTCCCTAGTCCCTACTCTGACTAGGCTCAATCTTGTAAGCTCCTGCCTCAGGCTGTCATAGTCCTGGGGTTACAAGCATATATCACCAGCCTGGCTATAAAATAATCTCCACAGTGAAAGCTGCACAGTAGATACTGGGTCTTAGAGAAGATCTTGGGACAGTTACAGCACTCAGGGTGAGGGTGAGGTCTCAGTGAGACTTTAAGAGACATGGATTTGGAAAGTTGAGAAACCAGCTTGGGCAGGGTTGGTGACAGGCTTAGCTTGCCTTTCTGAGAGGGAGTCTGACAAAGGTGCCATGGGCTCTCCAGCCATCGAGGTGTAGGGACTTTTCTCCAACTACTGCTGAGAATGAAAATCTGGCCTCCCCTAAGTGTCTCCCGGTGCCTTTCTCCAGCATCCTGTGCTCCTGACTGAGGCTCCTTTAAACCCGCGGAAAAATCGAGAACGAGCTGCTGAAGTTTTCTTCGAGACCTTCAATGTGCCCGCTCTTTTCATCTCCATGCAAGCTGTACTTAGCCTGTGAGTAGCAGCCTGGCTGGCAGGCCCTCATGAAGGGAAGAGTCCTTTGGACATTTCAGAGTAGCTGAAGCCCCAACCAGCCCTGCTGGGAAGGGTTCAGGATAGTGGCAGAGGGAGGGAGACTTCTGTCAAGACTTCTGTCGGAACTTGACTCCAGGGTTTCTTGGTTGGAACTAAAAGAGAAGATGTGGCTGGGACCAAGACCGCGTCCCAGTCCTGGCACTCTCAGTAATTTGTTGTGCAAGGCTCTCCCCTGGCCCTCAGAGAAGGCTGCCTGCTTCCTGAGGCCCTGACCATATGCGGACATTCCTGTTTCCTACTGAGTGCCAGGGGGCCCGCCCCTTAGCTCAGTTTTTTAAGTGGCTGCTTCAACAAAGCAGTCAGGCTCAGGTTGCTGTGGTTCGATCCCCACAACTCCAGCCAGCCAAACCTGCCCTGCAGGCATTCGGAGCAAAAAAAAAAAATCCTGAGCGCCAGGTGTTCCTGTAGCTCCAGCTGCAATCCAGATAGCACCATGGCTCCTGCTGTTACTCATGGTATTCCAGCCTCCCTGCACACCCTGCCTCTGTCTGCTACAGAGATGGTGCAGTGGATTAGCTTAGTTTCAGTGAAAATCTGTGAACCAGCATTTAAAAGTTTTCATATCAAAATCAAAATCCTAGGCTTCTCTAGAAAAATGGGAAGATCTAGTAATACAAGGCCTATGTTCCCGTAAGGCAAAAACCAGCCAGAGCTGCCAGCAGCTGCCCCAGCAGACAGGGTTGGCCAGGTGGCCTCACTGCCGCGCTCTCCATTCCCTGCTGTCCTTCCAGCACTGATGTGGAGTGCCCAGTGCTCTTCTTCAAACATTGCCGCTTTGCCCTCATATCAGAAATGCATAGGTGTTGTGGTGATCCCAGCACGTGGGAGGCTGAGGCAGGAGGACTGTCTGTCTGCCTTGAGTACAAGGCCAGCCTGGACCCTGTCTCAGATTCCACCCCCTAAAAAATGAAAAAGAAACATATATGAGAGAAAACTAAAGGCAGACCTGGAAGGCCATGTGAGGGGAAAACTAGGTTTGATGGAGGTTGAGAGTATAGTAGTCGTAATTTCCTTTACCCATTCCCTTGTCACCTGGGCCCTGTAGGTGTTTCCTCAGACAGGACCCTAGAACAGTTGGGGTCCAGGCTGCCTCCATAATCAGAAGACCTGCTTGCCAGGAATTGGGGGGCTGGGGATGCTCAGCACCTTATTTGGGTGTTTCAGGGCTTTCACACTATGCAGTTACGCAAGGCCCAAAAGGGAGGCAGGCTGGGCTTTAGTTCTGTGGGCACTAAGCCCTAGGGAGCAGGGGGCTTCTTTCCAGAGTGAGGAGGCACAATCAGTGATGTCCTCTTTGCTCAGTTATGCCACAGGCAGGACCACAGGCGTGGTGCTGGACTCTGGCGATGGCGTCACCCACGCCGTGCCCATCTACGAAGGGTTTGCCATGCCTCATTCCATCATGCGCATTGACATCGCTGGCCGGGATGTCTCTCGCTTCCTTCGCCTATACCTGCGCAAGGAGGGCTACGATTTCCATTCGTCCTCCGAATTTGAGATTGTCAAGGCCATAAAAGAAGTGAGTGCTGCACCATGTGCCCAGTGCTGGGGCTGAATGAAGAGGGGTGAAGCCCCTCCCTAGGTTCTGGGCCAAGCTCCTCACCAGCTTGCCTACCTCCTGCACTGCAGCTACGTTAGGGGGAACAGCTGCCTCCACTCCCAAATCTGTGGACAGGGGTCCTGGAGCTGCTCATGCACAGACTACACAAGGTCCTTCCCTCCTTGCAGAAGTCAGAATGCCTTCTTTCTAAGTAAACAGAACCATCCTGCTACCTCTGGCTCTAGGGAGACCTCTGATCTGGTCACAGGGATTCAGCACCATAGGGATTGCGGCAGGAGAAAGACATCTGAGCCTGGGCTAAAAACCAGACGGTGGCCTTAGACTCAGGGGCCAGAGAGGCAAGTTCTACACTTGCCCTCCAGAAAGGTGGGGTGGGTAAGCACCTTGTCCCAAGTGCCACCCAGTGCAGGCCAGCAGACCTCCCTGCCCCTGCTTCTGAGCAGCAGCTCCGATGAACTCAGAGCATTCACGCCTCTTCCCGCTCCACTTGGTTCTACAGAGAGCCTGCTACCTGTCCATAAACCCCCAGAAGGACGAGACGCTGGAGACAGAGAAGGCTCAGTACTACTTGCCCGACGGCAGCACCATTGAGGTAGGGGCTGTGCCGCTCCCTTCCCCTCAGACCCAGCAAAAAACGGTGCTTAGAGCAGCATGGATGGCCCGGTGTCCTGCAGAATCACAGGGTCTTTGTTCCTTTGTGGAACAAAAGGTGGAACCAGGGAATGTCCCAGGTAAGGGTGGATTAAGAATTGGGATGGCTGTGCTGTCTTCAGCTACTCCCAGGCATGGTGTCAGGTGGGTCACCACTCCCTGGAAGTCCCTGTGGTAGGAAGAAATTTCACTGAGTGAATGAATCCATCTAATAATGCCAAAGTCTCCCAAGAGTGCTCTTTGTTCCCCAAAGTCCTGTCCTTGTTCGCTGTGGGTCTGTCTTGAGCGTGGTCTTCAGTAGGCATCTGCTTGCTGCAGGATGGGCAGAGATGCTTGTCCATTCACACTCAGAGGCCCTCAGTGCCAGCTGCAGCCTGGTAAGCTGGCCCTTCCCTCTGCAGATCGGTCCTTCCCGGTTCCGGGCCCCAGAGCTGCTGTTCAGGCCGGACTTGATTGGCGAGGAGAGTGAGGGCATCCACGAGGTCCTGGTGTTCGCCATCCAGAAGTCCGACATGGACTTGCGGCGCACACTGTTCTCCAACATTGTCCTCTCGGGAGGTTCCACATTGTTCAAAGGTTGATCTTTGCTCATGAAGCCCTTTTTCCAGAATGAATGCTAACCCAGCATGGCCCAGGTGCCAAAAATTGACTTGACAATTCCTTTCTGCACATGTAGGTTTTGGTGACAGGCTCCTGAGTGAAGTGAAGAAACTGGCTCCCAAAGACGTGAAGATCCGGGTAGGAGCAAAGGGGCTAGCCAGTGGGGCTGGGCTTCTCAGGCAGCCAGGCCTGCAGCCTGCTGCTCCCAGCCTACATACGAGCTCTGAAGTTGGCAGCACAGGAGACCCTCCTTTTCCCTCAGGGGAAGGCAGGATACCAGGCTGAGGGTACCACCTGTGGGCCTCCAGGAGAGGGGCTTGGCTGCTGTTGTGCCCCCTACCCTGTGTCTAGTCTGGCATCTGTGTGTCTCCCAAGGCAGGCTGGCTGCCTGTAGGCAGGGAGGACTCTAAGGCTTGCAGTTCTTGCAGAAGTGTATCCCACCCTTATGGTGCTTCCAGCGTGGCCAGGGACCAGTGGAGTGGGGCTGGGTGTGTGGATCGCACCCACTTCTGGGGGGGGGGCAGATGCAGGGGTCCTCATATTCCTCTTCCCATTCACCTTTGCAGATATCTGCCCCTCAGGAGAGACTGTATTCCACATGGATTGGGTGAGTAGCACCAGGAAGCAAAGACAGTGTGTGCCTTCAGGCCTGTCCCTTTAAAGAAAGGCCCTGTTTGGTTTAGCCCTGAGGGACTGCCTGGTTCTAGGGTGTGCTCACTTACACTGCTCCTTTGGATCCCTCCACTCAGGGGCTCTATCCTCGCCTCTCTGGACACCTTTAAGAAGATGTGGGTCTCCAAGAAGGAATATGAGGAAGATGGTGCCCGATCCATCCACAGGAAAACCTTCTAATGTTAAGACATCATCTTTACCTCTCTCTGAAGTTAACTCCACTTTCAACTCGCTTTCTTGAGTCGGAGTGATTGGGAGGAACTGCCTGTGTGTGTGAGTGTGTGTGTGTAGGTACGAATGTGGCACAGCCGGTGCCATGTGGCCCAGGGATCTCCAGGCCCAGGAAGGACAATGAATACCCACGATGGCAACAGCCAAGGCCTGGCCCTGACCACTACTGGGCCCTGGCAGGGAGGACTGCTGGCAGAGGCCCAGTCCTTCCTCAGCTGGGCCTTCATCTGGCTGTGGGGTTTGGTTACCACCGCAGGGAGACTTGCTGCTGTCCACCCCAGACTGGCTGGCCCACGCTGCCCCACCCCAGGGTGCTGTGAAGCTGAGCTGCTGCCTATCCTTGGCACCCTCCTTCTGTCCTTGATTTTGATGGTGAACTGTGGACTGGGTCAGGGTTAGGATCTGTCTGGGCTGGCTGGCTTCAGTCACAAGAAGCTATAAAACTGCTCTAGAGCGGTGAGATGGTCGGGAGGCAGCAGGGGACCTCACGTCCAGTTGGGTCCAGGACCTCATGAGGCATGGTGAGAGATGGTCGGGAGGCAGCAGGGGACCTCACATCCAGTAGGGTCCAGGACCTCATGAGGCGCATGGGGAGGGCAGTGATGACAGCTGCGACTGGCTGCAGAGTTAACGTTCCACACCTGGCCCATCTCTGGGATCTTGGGAAAGCTGAGGAGACTATCAGCTACAGGTCCTTTTCCTCTCTTTTCATCCATCTTTGTTTCAATGCCATCCTGGCAGGTTTATTTATTGAAGTATTTGTTCAGTCGGGGCTGGGAGCCCAGGGCTCCTTGCCATCTGCCTGCCAGCCACCGTGTCACACTAATGTTTACAGCGTAGCTTCCAGGGCCCCCACTCCGTGCCGGCTGTGAATGGACATCTGTAGCTGTGCCTCAGCACCCTCTGGGCCTGGGGGTCACACTCAGAGCCTCTCTCCCTCCTCCACTTGCTCGCTGCACTGGAACCAACAGGCCGGATGCTTGGTTGAATTTTCTGAACGGGAAGTAGAATCACTCTTTGGCAGAACCCCTTCCAAGAGAGTTACAAGGATCCAGTCCCTTAGGACTGTAGAAAGCTGCAGTTTACCAAGTTGCCTTTTGCCCTTCTACCTGGGGAACTAGGCTGAAGAGGCAGGAAGGCCCGTTGGAGTGATCGTGTGCCACTGTTGACTTTGGTCCTATTTGTGAAGGGAGGGACAAGGGCCAGACCAGAGGGCCAGGAGCTGATGGCGTGGGCCTTACCCCAGGAACTTCAGTGGCCTCAGCCCAGATGGTACAAAGTGGGGCAAACCTGTCTTCACTGGCACCGTTGCCTGTGACATGAGGACGCAGACAGTCCCAGATGCCAGGCAGTATTCTTTCCCCGAGCCATCCCATGACCAAAGGCCCCTGCCAGATGTGAGCTGAAGCAGGTGTGTGTGAAAGCGATGTGGCAGCTGCCGACTGCAGTGCGCATGACCAGCTCCCCTTCCTCCTCAGCCCAAGCCTGTCCCCTGCACAGCCTCGCACAAACTGTGTTGCCTGGTGGGGCCCAGTGCACTTAATAAAGTTGTTCCAGTAGACACACGAGCCAGGCCGCTGTCTGCAACCGGGGCAGGGCTGGAGCGAGGAGACTTGGCCGCCTCTGGATGTGAGATGGAGACCCAGCCTGGTGTGCCCTTTGGCAGGGCATTACCACACCTTCTAGGCTGGCCCCAGCATCAGGCCGTTGGGTGGATAGAGGACCTAGTGTTCACACCAGAACCTAAGTTCAAAAACCGAAGGTCAGGCCCAGCCAGATAGCTCAGCGGATTAAGCACCTGCTTAGGCAGATGCAGAGGCCAGGGCTCAATACCCAGCATGCCTTACTGGCCCTACCCCTGGGGCACACAGACAACAACTGAGACTGGGCTTGGTGGCACACACCTGTAATCTCAGCTCTTGGGAGGCTGAAAACAGGAGGATCACTAGAGTCCGATCTGTGTAATGAGACTCTGTACTAAATATTTTTTAAAAAAACAAACACGGAGCGTCTAACTCCTGCATACATTTAGGCCTGCGAGTAACACTACAGGAGCAGCTCTTGCCACCTTTGGGTTTCTCAAAACTGATGTTAAGCCCAGCGTGGCATACTCTTGGAATCCCACTGCTTGGGAGGCTAAGGCAGGAGTGCCTGAGTTCAAGGTCAGCCTGGGCTACATAGTGAGACCTAACAGGGCTGGGGAGATAGCTCAGCAGTCTAAGTACCTGCCTGGCAAACACAAGGACCTGGGTTCAATCCTCATACCACATGCCACACCAGCCAATCCCCAGTGTTCCCATGCCTGAAACTCGGCAGAGCGGCACACACCTGTAATCCCAGTGCAGAGGGAACTGAGACAATAGGATCACTATTAGTCCAAGCAAAAAAGAAAACGCTGTCAAACATCACAGGATTCTCTGCCCCCAATGTTCCTGGCAGCTAGGCTGATACATTTAGCTAGTGCAGTGGTTTGTAATCCTACCTTTGAGGTAAAATCACAGTTTTGCAAGACCCCAGCGTTCACACCATCCTGCAGGCTCAGGCTGGAACTGCTGGGAACAACCCACCGGGAAGCTCTGTGAAGATCCTCTGGTGACTCCTGCACTAGGAGGTCCTCCGTGATGACTATGTAGCAATGGTATGTGAGGAACATGGGGCGGCTGGCCTTAGGCCTGAATGCCACTTACAGTGAGCTGCATTCTTATCCTGGTACCTCAGAGTCTGACACGGTGGCCACCACCCGAGGAAGCTGCTCTTAGGCTGCTTTCCTGATCAGTAGGAATGATTTTGTTTTTTTAAGATGGGTTTCTCTGTGTAGTCTGGACTGGCCATGAGCTATGTAGCTCAGGCTGGCCTCTTCCAGACTCTGCCTCTGAGTACTGAAGTTAAAAACCTGTGTCAGCACGCCCGGCTCCCTGAGGAACCTTGTTTACCAGCCTACTAACACAGCACAGACCTGAGGAATAGGAATGACTGACTTTAATCAGTAACGAAACAAGCCTCTTGAGAGGGGACACAGCTGCAGGCTCAGGGAACCGTATGTGAGACCACTGGAAGAACAGAAGGAGAAAGTGGGCAACACTAAGCTTCCCCTGACAAGGCAAAGGGAGCAGCTGAAGTATCAGAAATGGCTCCTGAGGATACCAGAGTGGCCAACTGCAGCAGGCAGTACATGGGCCTTGGGAGCCACCCAAGGGGTGCAGTCTTCTGTGTACCATCCCAGCTGGTTCCATTTGTCCTGCCCCCTGGGCACAAACAGTCCAGCCCTTACACAGCAGAGCCAGGCAGACATCAGTGACATTGCTGGCTCAGCCTCGGGGGCTCTCACCTGCCATCTGTCCTCCAGGTTGTACCCCGGGAAGTCAGAGGAGTAAGACACGGGCTGGGCAGTATTCCCAGCAGGGTGCCCTTGCTATGCCACTCACACTGTCTTAATGTCCAGAGTTTGGACCTGGGCCAGGCTCTGGCGCTGGGCCTTGACCATGTGCAGGCGCCGCCCATGCAGCGTGAACTGGGACCAGGTGAGGAGCTGCAACAGTGCGCAAGTGATGGGCACCAGCACCAACAGGTAGAAGCAACCCTGGCGCAGTGTTGAGGCCCGCGCCGGGGCAGAGGCTGGTGGCTCTGGCCAGGGCTGGGTGCTGCCCACAGGGATCACTGGGGGCTGCTGGAAGAGGTCATGACCTAGGACGAGAGCACAAAAGAACATAGCTCATTTTCCCTCTGGAGTCCACAGGGGAAGCCTCAAACAGGTGCACCTCCTAGGCCACAGCTCTTGATGCCTCCCCCAAACCCGCTCCTCCTGTCCTTCCTTTCTGGTGAATGCCACCACCATCTCCCCCAAAAGTCAAGCCAGAAATCTCCCAGTGTGCCTCAGTTGCTGTTTAACTCCAGCACTCCCCAGTGCCCACCACCTGACACCATCCAACTCCAGAAAACATCCACACAGCCCACAGGTCCCTCGCGCCTCCCCAGGGTGGCCAGTCAGCTCTCCAGAGCATCCATCAGACCACACCACTTCCTTGCTTCCAACGTCCCAGCAGCACCTCTGTGCAGGGAGCTCGAACCCCAAGCCCCGCCCCAACCTGCAAAGCCCTCTGCTTGCCCAGCCCCACCTAGCCCCAACACGCAGGGCCTTGGCACCTTCCATCCTCTGCCTGTGACTCGCTGGCAACTTTTCTGGACCCAGTCCTTCCACTCCATTCACAGCTGAGGGTCTCCTCTTTGAGGGAGGTGACACTGAGTCCCTGACTACACTTGAGTCACACTGTCCACTTTATCCTGCACCCACCACTGTCTGAGAAGTTCTTGGTTAGCTGTTTATTGCCAACCCACACCTCTGCCTGATAAAAGCAGAGGCTCCATCATAACAGAACCTGGGGCAGGGGGCGGAAGGTGTAGCTCAGCAGCACAGCACCTGCCTAGCAAGCACAAGATCGGAGTTTAATTCCCAGGACAAAAAAAAAAGAACTTTAAAAAAAAAAAAAGAGAGAAGAGGGCCGGGGAGATGCCTCAGTGGAATAAGTGCTTCCCTGGCAAGCACAAGGGCCTGAGTTCAATCCCATTCCGCCAAAAGAAAAGAAAAGAACTTGGGGAGGCCAGCCAAATAGCTCAGCAGACTAAAGAGCCTGCTTAGGCAGAGTGCAGGAGCTGGGGTTCGATCACCGGCATGCCGTGCCAGCCCCGCTCCTGGGGCACACTGAGATGGCGACTGAGACCGGGCGTGGTGGCGTGCATCTGTAATCACAGCGCTTGGGAGGCTGAAATACACGTCTGATCTGTGTAGTGAGTCCCTGTACTAAATACATAAAAAATTAAAAAAAAAAAAAAAAAAAACTTGGGGAGAGAGCATTCTGTACTGGTCCACTGAGTGAATGCATGCATGAACGAACTAATAAGGAACACAGGAATTTGAGACCCAGTTCCTCTCCCACACAGGAGGCTCACGGGAGTCGTCAGATGCTAGGACCGTTCTCTCTCCCTGGAGGTAGCACCAGAGCTTGCAACTGGTGTCCCAGGGAAGCTGTGGCCCAGACCCCCAAGAGCCCCTGGCTGTCCCCAGGCCTTCACCTGTGTAGAAGCAGAGAAGCCAGGTGCCCAGCAGTGGAGCAAAGGTCTGGCCTGGTTTGGTCACCAGGGCAACCATGCCAAAGAGGAGCGCCGAGGCTGCCTGCTTGCGATGATTCAGCACCAGGTCCTCATCCACCAGGTCAGTGACCACCAGCGTCAGCAGCTTACAGGTGCCCTCCGTGAAGACACGGTTGCTGCCAGCAGAGAGCAGTAGAGAGATGTGGGGGAGATACATCATGTGCAGCCCCAACTACCACCACAGGCAGTCACTGTGTACTACAAACAGTGGACTAAAATAAACATTTAAATTCATCACAAAGAGTGGAGGGGGAGCAGGTGAGATGGCTCAGTGGTCTAAAGCACCTATTTGGAACAGGCTTGGCAAAGTACAGGGACCGCGGTTCAATCCCCCAGCACCACATGCCAGCCGGCCCCGCCCCCTGGTGGGCTGAGCTGGCCACACACACACACACACACACACACACAAGCGCACACACACACACACACACACACACATAAATAAATAAATAAATAAATAAATTTTTAAAAGAAGAGTGGAGGGGTAGGTGGAGGTGGGTGGAAGTGGGTTGGCCAGAGGTATACCTGGCAATGAAGAAACACAGCAGGCCTGGGCGGTCCGGGCCAGCCACCAGCATAAGCAGGCTGAGGCCCAGCTTCAGCAAGAAGAGCGCCCGCACCACAGAATAGACGCCCCAGCGCCGGCACAGCGGCAGGAAGTAGAGGTTGTTGAGATGAGGGGCGACGTAGGAGATGCCTGGAAGAAGGAGGTGCCATCTGACCAGAGGCAGTGCCACAGCCTTGCAGTGTCAGAGCTACCAGCCAGGCATGGTGCCACACACCTGTAATCCCAGCACTCAGGAGGCTGAGGCAGAAGGACAGCCATGAGTTCAAGGCCAGCCTGAATCACACAGCAAGATGCTATCTCAAAATAACAACAACAATCAGAGCTACTGTTTGCAATACTTTCAGGCTAACAAGACTTCTGGGCTGTGTGCATTGCACACTTTGGTTTAATCTTCACAAGCCTTGGAGACAAATACAGTGGTCCTAGAAGACTGGTTCCAGGGCCTCCACGGGATAGCAAAATCTGAAGACAAACTTCCCAGGGCCAGGGAGATGGCTCAGTGGAATAAGTGCTTCCCTGGCAAGCACAAGGGCCTGAGTTCAATCCCCGGTGCCGCAAAAAAAAAAAAAAAGATAAACTTCCCATAACAACACAAACACATGCCCACACTTTAAATCATCTCGATCACTTACGTGAGCTAATGCCACATAAATGCCATCTATGCAAACAGCTGTTGCACTGTATTGTTAGGGGATAATCATAAGAAAAAATCATACGAGTTCAGTGCAGAGGTAATTTTTTGCCCAGATAGTTTCCCTCTGTGGTTGGCTGAATCCATGGATACAGAGTCCACAGATACAGACAGCTACTGTTACCATCCTCACTTTATAAACAAGAAAGGCCCAAACAGACTCACAGGCTCACCCACAGGCTTGCCAGCCTGTGACCCTCACCACTCACAACCACCTGCACCCCTCACCTCTGGGTGGCACCCCCCCAGGGGACCAACACGAGGGTGGCCCACCCCACCCCCAAGACAGGAAAACAGCAACAGGCTGAGGGCCAAGGCCAGGCCTCTGCACCCCGGCTCCAGCTAGTAAGGTGGCCCTGCTGTGAGCTGGGCTGGGGCTCAGGGTGCGGCCAGTCCCCTTTGGTTGCTCCAGGCACCAACTCACCCAACAGGAAGGAGCCGGTGGACAGGGAGATGTGGTCCGACAGCAGGTACTCCAGGAAGAGGGGGAAGAAATTGCTGTTGAAGTGACAATGAAACACCTGCAAGCCAAGGGCAGTAAGGGGGCCTGACAGGGACAAAGCCAACAGGAGAGCACGCGTCCTCCACGCCCATGTCCCTGAACATGGGATATGCCAGAACAAAAACCTAAAACCATGTTCCTGTTCTTGTCTAATTTCCTTAAAAGTTAGAAGATGTGCTAAAATAGTAATAGTAATAAAACAAGTTGTTCTTTTTCTGAGACAGGGTCTCTCTGGCCTTAAATGCTCTAGGTAGCCCAGGCTAGCCTCAAACTTGCAACAATGCTCCTGCCTCAGCCTCCCAAGTACTGGGATTATAGGTGTGAGCCACCATGCCTGGCTAAATTTTTCTATTTCGTTGAAAACATCTTAGTAATACAGGTTTCTTTTTTATGTTTGATTTTTTTTTCTTAAGACAGGGTCTCACTTTGTAGTGCAGTGTACTTTTGAACTCACTATATAATCCAGGATGGTCTCAAACCCTAGGCAGTGATCCTCCTGTCTCTGCCTCCCGAGTACTGGGATTACAGACATGCACCACCTTGCCCAGCTAGTAATACAATTTAAAAACATGAAAACAATTTATTTCTAAATTTGACTAGCTTCAATACACTTTTTAGGTGTGGCACTTGTGTTTTAAAAGGACTGTCACAGAGGCTCCACAGGGGCATCTGTCCCTCAGTCCTCCCTTCACAGGTGATGACAGGCTGGTCCAGGGAGGCTAACACCACCTAAGACCACGCAGGAAGTGAGGACACCAGAAGGTGCTAGAGTTCAGGTCTCTAAGGCCCCCTCTCAGCTCCTGCCAACCAATCACCAGCGAGGCCTCCTGAGACCCAGCTCCTGAGGCCACTTCCCTGGAGTGAGGCACAGTCCAGCATTGGGGAGGGGGCACCCCTATACCTGCACCAGGTCCATGCCCACGAACCACAGGAAGTTTTGGTGGCGTGCCAGCTGCCGGAGGTACTGGCCCAAGGTGATGCTGCCCGCTTCCTCACCACCAAATAGCAGCTCCTCTCTGCGTAAACTATGGAGCAGAGCACAGCTGAGCACTGCTGGGCCTGGCCAGAGGCAGCCCCCACCCAGGGCCACCACCCATCTACCAGGGCACCCAGCACCAAAGTCAGACTCAGAACCTGGAGAGGCAGAGCCGGCCACTCACCCGCCATCCCAGGCCAGCGCCGAGCACCCCATGTCCCTTCCAGCTGCCTCAACCCGCCGCCTCAGCAGTTGTGTGGCCCCCAGAAAGCCCAGTGCAGAGCCAGCAGCCAGTGCCACGCAGAAGGTGCGGAAGGAAGAGAAGTCCTCCTTGTTCCAAAAGGCATAGGAGGCAAAGACAGAGAGGGAGCCAGCGGCGCTGAAGACGGAGCAGCAGAAGTTGAGGTGGGTGCGGCCCCGGGCCGAGAGGGCCAGGTCAGCCAGCAAAGCGTGATGGTGCAGGTCCACAAGTGTCAGGAAGCCATCATAGAGGCACAGGCACAGCAGGAACTGCAGGCCAGCGGGGGCCCAAGGCACCCAGAATGCCAGGAATGAGAGCGCCAACAGCGGCCCATGCCGGCCCAGCGCCTGGACCCGGGCCAGCACCACAGCCTGGGAGGAAAGCCCTGTGCCTGACCTGCCAGAAAGAGGAGGTGTTGGGAGCTGCCCTTCCGGCTGGCGCAGCCCAGCCCGCTGCCCAGGCCCCAGCTGAGGATGGCATGCTGGAGGGTGGGATCCATGCCTAGGAGAGCTGGTGCCGAGGCTCAGCACTGGGGATAGCAATGGCCCAAGCAGGCAGGGTAAGGAAGTCCGGCCGAAGCAGCAGAAGGTGTTTGCTGCTACATCCGGAGAAGCCAGTCAAACCCAGCTGGGGTCACTCAAGGCCACTTCTCCCGCTTGGACCGCACCTGGCCAGGCCTGGTGGGATGGACACCTAACACCCGAACCAGCCTCCTACTCTCCCCGCACCCCAGACAGAGGCCGCTATCCTCCAGCTCCACAGTGTGGGGCTTGGAGCAATTACGAGCCATGCCCAAGACACAGACCGAGGCCGGGAGCTGAGGAACTGGCGATCACTGAGCCAACCGAAGAGAGGGTCATTGAGGCTGTTCCAGAGGAGAAACACGGTCTGCAGGCAGAGGAGACGGGGGTGGGCTGCTGGCGGCTTCCACTGGGCCTGTCCCTCAGAGATGAGGGGACCCCCACCCGTGTCCGAAACCCCCTACTTCCAGCCACTATGTCCTCCAGACTGCCTCAGCCAGGGCCCAGCCGGCAAGTATACCCAGCTGATCGGTAAGCACAGAAGACTCCACTGTATCACATTACACACAAATACGTAGAGCAGCAAGCAACACAACAGCAGCCAGGGCCGCCGAGATAGCTCAGCAGTCTAAAGTGCCTGCCTTGGCAAGCTTAAACAGGCTCAGGGGACCAGGGTTTGATCCCCAGGAACCACATGCCATGCCAGCCCCACCCTCAGGGCTGGCTGAGCTGGCCAAAAAACAGCCAGGAGCCAGGCATGGCGGCACGCCTATAATGCCAACGCTCAGCTGGCTGAGGCAGGAGGATCACTGTGAGTTCGAGACCAGCCTGGGCTAAAAGTGAGCTCAAAGCCAGGCTAAACGACATAGTGAGACCCTGTCAGGAAAGCCAGGAAAGCTCGTCTAAGGTCCCCATGAGGGAATCACTGAGGCCTCCATCAGCCTTTCCGCTGAGTCAAGGTGGACACCCGGCCTGCCCACACCGACTCGGTGGGACCCAGCACCAGCCACACGCTCAGCACCCTCATCTACCTCTCCAATCCAGAAGGCTGTTCTGTTGATCTTGTACACGGAGACAAAGGTGTCCACATAGTACAGAAGGAACACGTTGTGCAGGACAGAGGTGAAGAGGGCCAGGGAGCCGTAGACCACGGGCGTAGGCAGGCCCACCAGCCAAGCCCGGGGCAGGCCCAGCCCCATGGCAAGCGGCCCTGCTCAGCCCCAGGAGCACCAAGGAGGGCTCACCACCATAGGCAGCCGTGCCATCCTTGTCCCTGGGGAAGAGAGAGCCCATCAGCAGGAGGGAACAGAGCCCGCCTTGCTCCTAACCAAAGGCTCCTGAAGCCTTTCAACACTCATTTCCACCAGGCAAACCTGAACCTAAAACAGTTTCACATCAGCGAAAGCAATGCCAAGCAGATACCAGCAGCCGGGAGGAGCAGAGGGACCCGCGGGGAGGCCGCAAGGCCGAGCGCCCGGCCAGGGCTCAGGAACCTCTTGCCCCCACACTAACATCTTCCGGGCTGGTGTGGCAACGTTGGCTTGGTGTGTAGGGCACAGATAGTGCAAACGTGAGAAAGCCAACCCAAGCTCTTTTTTTTTTCTGTAAAAGGAAAAAGGGAAACATTATGCCACCTACTCGACAATAGAACATAAGGGTTGGGGAGGGGAAAATAAAGGTTAAAACAAATTAAGGAATGTCGGGGCCGGGGAAGTGGCTCAGTGGAACAAGTGCTTCCCTGGCAAGCGCAAGGGCCTGATTTCAATCCCCGGTTCCGCCAAAAAAAATTAAGGAGTGTCACGTACATATACCAACTCCCCAGGATGAATGCAATCAATAAACATGTACCAATAAAATATATGCTTTTAAAAAGGCTTGAAAGACCAGGGATATAGCTCAGCGGTATGAGTGCCTGCCTGAAAAGCATAAGGTCCTGCAATTGGTACCCCAGAAAAAGGATTCAATTAGAGGAGGAGAGTACAGAGGAGACTGCGAGGGAGAGGAAGGGATTAAAAACTAAGCTCTATTATGTACATGTACCAACTCCCCAACACAACTGTGAAAGGCACAGTCTGCAGACATTACTAATAAATAAAATTTAAAAATTGCAAAAGGATTTAGTGAAGTAGCTCATAGTATGTGCATAATAAATGGGTATTGGTGGTATCTTTACAAAGTCCCTACAAAGCCATGCATAACTATAATCCCTGCATTCAAGAGGTGGAGGCAGGGAGACTGCAAGCTCAAGGCCATCTCGGGCTACACCAGGTTCAACAGCATCAGGGACTAAGCAGCCGACCCTGCCTGAAAAAGGAAAAGAAAAAGCCTACAAAGTTTATAGCACAATTTGATTTCAGAGGACAGTAACCCCAAGTTTAGAGATACTGAGGTACAGAGTAATTGGCCAATATCACACAGTAAGCAACAGGCCTAAAACCAGGCCAGTCTGAACAACCAAGCGTTTCCTCCCTCGCGACCTCCCCAATCAGGTCCCCAGGCACGGCTAGGAAGAACGGTGATATTTGCTCCGTGACAAGAGGGATATGATGCGAGGTGAGGAGAGCCCACAACTGTCCACGCACCCTGATCCCAGAAATCCCACCTAGGGAGCTGACCCCAAAGAAGCACTGCACAGCAGCAACATTCATGAGCAGCAAAACTGGACACGGCCCCAGAATGTGACAAGGGGGCTGCCTCGCCAAGCTCCAGGAAGAGTCCACACCAGGCAGCACAGGGTAGACCCACAACACACACTAGGTGGAAAGAAAAAGCCAGCTGGGAGGTACAGCCTAGTGGGGCAGTGCCTGCCTGCGGGTGGAGGGGGAGGGAGGGACACAGAGAGACAGACAAACTGAGACAAAGGCAGGGACTAAAGGGCAAATGTCTTGAGCACAAACTGAGAACTAAACTGGCCAGGATGGCAAAGGAAATACTAGTCGGATTCTAGTTTTAATCAAGCAGCGTGTGACACATGTAAGTCACCTGGGAACCTTATTAGAATGTCTGTTCTGTTCTGACTCAGGCAGCAAGAGGAAGGACCCAAGGTCCTGCTTTTCTAACAAGCTCCTCGGTGACACTGATGTCCCCGGCCCATGCCTACACTTTAAGGAGGGAGGCACTAAGTCTCTCCGTATCTTTTCAGTCCCGAAGCCAGTGTTTCACAGAACAGCTCCGTGTACCTTTCTGGCCCCTCCAGAGACACTATGGAGGTTTTCTCCTCCCACTCCCTGCTGCGAGCTGCAGTAGGTCCCCAACGGGTATGCTGACCCAAGACCATGCCCATCTCTGGACGCTGTGTCGGTGCAGCTGTTAGGTCACTACACAGTCACACTGTGTCGCACTGAGTCAGCCTGTGCCTAACAACCGTGCCCTTGAGAAGAGAAGGAAATGTGGACAAAGACAGCCGTGTGCAGATGAAGACAGCGATCAGCTGATGCAAGCATGAGCCAAGGAACGCAGCAAGCACCAGCAGCGTGACGAGGGAAGGCAGGGTTCTCCCTGAGAGCATCGGAGGGAACACAGTTCTGCTAGGCCTTGAATTCAGGCTTTAACCAACTGGGATCATCCACACGGCAGCCTATGGAACCTTGGGGGCCCATCAAAGAGCCCTGGCTCCTCTCACCCAGCCTGCCACACTCCCATGTCCACTTGTGTACCTGCCACCTGCTCCCAAGTCCACAAGCCACATGGGGCCCACATCTGCTTTTAATCTCAGCCCAACAGCACCCTCAGCACACCCAGGCCCAAAACTCACCAAAGCTGCATAGTGACATAGGCAGCCTCCCTGTTTGCCTTCTCCAAAAGGGAGCAGAGTGCCCCAGCCTCACCCAGATGCCCTTGCACTTGTCACTGAGGAAGACAAGCTCATGTAAGTCCTCCTCAGCCCTGACCAGCTGGCTCCCTACATGCACCCTGGGCCAAGGATAGAAGACTCAAAAGTGTGGTGAGAGGGGCTGGTGAGATGGCTCAGTGGTCTAAAGCACCTACTTAGAACAAGCTTAGCAAAGCACAGGGACCGCAGTTCAATCCCCCAGCACCACATGCCAGACAGCCCCGCCCCCTGGTGGGCTAAGCAGGCCACACACACACACACACACACACACACACATAAATAAAAATAAAAAAAAAATTTTAAAAAGTGTGGTGAGGTGCAAGCCTGTAACTTTTACCACCAGAAGGGCCTGGGCTCAAATCCCAGCTACATTTTCTACAAACAGTGCCACCTCACTAACTCACCCCTGTGGGGCATTGGTTTCCTCATTTGCAAAATGCCAAACCATGTAAGAGCAAAGGATAAAACCCAGAGCACCATGCCTGTCCACAGAAGATGCTCCGAAACTTGCTTTTAGGGCTGGGGATTTGACTCAGTGGCACAGCGCCTGCCTGCCAAGAGTGAGGTCGAGTTTGATTCCCAATATGAAAGAGAGAAAAATCAAACAAACAAACAAACTTGCTTTTTCAGAACACAGACAATGGGTACCAGGATGCAAAGCTGCCTGTCCAGGGGAAAGGCCCTGCAGAGGAGCCAGGAGTGCTCAGCAGCTGCTTCTCTCCCAGCTTCCATCCCTCAGCAAATGGCCTTCCAGGACCTCTATGGCCCACAGAGAACAACAGAGTACAATGGGCCTTCCTGCCCTAGAGAAGAACAGCCAGGAGCCAGCCGTGCCAGCCTGCTTGCAGGTGACAGATCCTGCAGCCTGTTACCAGCTCCATTGCCTGCTCCGGGCCCTGCACAAGAGCCTATCAGAGGCCCACGTGCACCCTTCCTTGGGAAAGGTCCTGGTTGGTGGCCTGGGGCCCGCCACTCCCCTTGTGGGGGCGAGTGCAGTTGTTCACAAGAAGGAAATACAAAAAACATGCCAAAAACTCAAGAGTACATTTTCCCCTATCTTTTTGAAACTTGGTTTATTCTTTTTTTTTTTTTTTTTTTTTTTGGTAGAAGAGACAAATTTATTTTGGCCTGAGTACACTGCCAAAGAAAGATCAGAGCCCTAGGGCTGGCAAGATAGCTCCGCAGACTAAGCACCTGCTTATGCAAGTGCAGGGACCGGGGTTCCATGTCCCCAGCCCCACCCCTGGGTGTGCTGAGCCTACAAGTCCAGCTGTGGTGGGGCACACCTGTAATCCCAGCACCGGGGAGGCTGAAAACAAGATCACTATGAGCTGCATAGTGAGACCCTGGACCAAATACATTAAAAAAAAAAAAAAAAAAATCAGCCCGATGGCAAGTGCATGACTGAAGATTTTGCAGAGCCAGCACAGGCGCCTCTGCTGGGGAACATCCTAGCCCTTTCCCTCTGCAGGCCTCTGCATGCTTTTGTTCACGCAGTCCCTCCCACCTGAAGTACCCAGATGCAAGTGCACATGGCCTCCAGGCACGTGGGGTAGCCCAAGCTTTCAGGCTCTCCTGAGGGCGTGTGGTCTGGTACTCCTCCTACGCACCACTCTGCAGAGAAGAAACCAGGTACTAGAGACAAGAGTCAAAGTAGATACTGGGGCTGGGGAGATGGCTGGGCAGCAAAAGCATTTGCCTGGCAAGCGCAAGGATCCAAGTTCATGCCCACCGAGGAATCCCAGGCGTGCCGAACCAGCCACCAAAACTGGGTATGGTAGCACATGCCTGTAATCCTAGCTCGGGGGAGGCTAAGACAGGAGGTTCACTACAAGTCTAAAGTGTATAGTATGACCCTATATCAAACCTAAAAAAATAAAAAGGTATTGGCCCATGTGTGGTGGTGCACAGCTGCCATCCCACCATCCCAGCACTCAGGCAGCTAAGACAGGAGAATCACTGTGAGTTGTGAGTTCAAGGCCAGCCTGGGCTACACAGAGTTCAATGCCTGCCTGGACCGCATAGCAAGACTGTCTCAGAAAGCAAAAGGGATGTGGTGACGCACACCTGTAATCTCAGTACTTGGGAAGCTGAGGCAGGAGGATCACTGCACATCCAAGGATAAGATGGACTACACAGTGAGTTTAAGGCTAGCCTACATTACATAGGAAGACCTTGTCTCAAAAATAAAAAAAAAAACTGGGCCAGGAAAGCCGCTCAGTGGCGCAGCCTGAGCAAGTGTGAGGCTAAGTTTGATTCTGGGCACCAAAAAAGAAAGAAAGAAAAAAAAAGGCCAAATTTTTTTTAAAACTAAAAACATCTCAGCATTTCTTGCTTCACCATACACCACCCTCCTCTGCAATCACCACACATCCTGCTCATCCAGGGCCCAAGACAGCAGTCACAGGCCTTCTGGGTACCCAACCCCGTGTTCTCTCCCTTCCTCAGGTCCCTCAAGCCTTGTGCCAGACATCCAAAGGCCTCCCTCAACCTTCTCCAGCCCAAAGCCCCTTAAAGCCAAGGCCAGGCCAAAGGGCTCCTTCCAAAAAGCTGAAACTGTCCCCGACTTCCACTCCTGGTAGTGCACCACCCTTGAATTCTACACCCACCTCCCACCAGGCTCCTTGACACAGTAGGTGCTCGATGAACACCGCGGCTCAAATGTCCTTAGAAGGCCAGCAGAGGGACCCCAGGCCCTGTGGGAGTCATGGGGAGGCACCTGGAAGCCACTGTGCCCCTCAGAAGAAAGCGTGCAAAGCAAGTCACAGGTGTGCAAAGAGGCACACGGCTAAAGCACAGAGGAACGCTGCGGAGACAGCAGGAACAAGAAAGCTGAGTGTGTGCAGGAAGAGGGGTGGTGGAAAGGGCCGAGACTGTCCTGAGGTCCCCGAATGGAGTAATTTGGAGTGGGGAGTCCTGGGTCAGGTCTGAATGTTAACAACTCAACACTGACTGGCTCTGTTTACTTTCCCATCTGTGAAGTAGGAAAAGCAACTCCAGCCAGGCTTGGTGACACACGTCTGTAATCCTGGCACTGGGGGTGGGCGGAGCTGAGGCAGGATTGCTGAAAGTTCAAGACCAGTCTTGGCCGCACAGTGAGACCCTGCCCCACACACACCAAAAAAAAGAAAAATAACTCCATTCCCTGCCCGTCCTTGAGGTGTCAAATGAACACAGGGAAGTTCCAGAAGCCAAGCAATTAGGTGCGCCACTTCCTGGACAACTGGCGGGCTTCTGAACTGTGTGCTGCGTGCGGCCCTCACTGCGGGCCTCCCCTCCCTGCCGCTCTCCCCACAGCAGGCCCCGCTCTAGGCAGTCTGCTGGGGGTCCAACCCTCTATCCCATCCCGGGGATCTCGGGGGTCCAACCCTCTATCCCATCCCGGGGATCTCGGGGGTCCAACCCTCTATCCCATCCCCGGGATCTCGGGGGTCCAAGCCTCTATCCCATCCCCGGGATCTCTTCCATGTGCAGATGAGAATCACCTGAAAGCCTGAACTCGACCCCTACGGCCACCCCAGGCCTCACTCCAGGCCTCCAAAGTCACAGCCGGGAGCACCCCCTGCCCCCTTTCGGCTTCCCAAGTGCTTCTCCTGAGCCACCACGGTTCAGCGCCATAATGTCAGTGCATGGACCCCTGCCTGACCCTTGCTTCCGGGGTGCAAGATCTCCGCGACCCTGCCTCGCCACAGCCCCCCTCCCCCTGGAGCCCGCTGGCACCGATCCCACCCTTGCTCGCACAGCCCTGCTGCGCCCGCCCGACCCCAGAACTCACCCACAGCCCCCTCACCTCCCCGACCCCCGCACACAGTTCCCGCGATTCCAGGGAGGAAGCATCCCCGCCCCGCGAGTCTGTCATCTGTATCCGCTCAGCCCGAAACGCGGCGGGCCTGCCCCTGCGCCCAGCCCGCGGTCCAGCCTCTCACCGGACTCCCAGAGGCGAAGCCCAATCGCGCCGCCGCCGGCCGGCTCCAGCCCAGCGCGCCTGCGCCCCGCCCCGCCCCGCGGCTCCCCGGGCGGCCCCTCGACCCGCCCTGCGATTGGCTCCGGCAGGTGAGGGCGCCGAGGCAGTCGCCGCCATGTTTGTCACGGGCCGCTGCCCTTAGCCGCGGCACCACCAGAAAATACCTGGCGCTAGCGCTGCTAGCGCGTGGAGGCAGGCGGCCTGGATTCCTGGCCAGCACATCCCCGCTTTTTCACGTCCACGAAGGGTAAATGTCGTTTCAGGTCACGTCAACAAGTTTCTTTTCTGGGCACTCCCCTTGCTCCCCTGTCTTGTCTAATTCGGAGGACGAAAGACTTCGGCGCTACCGGGATTGAACTCAGACCCTCGAGCTTGCCAGGTGAGCGCTTATTCTGCTGAGCCGCCTCCCCCGCCCTTCAACTGCTTTCTTGAGGACTGTCTGAGACTGATACAGAGGTGGCAACAAGGGGCTGGATTGTGAGCCTCTGTGGACGCGGACCCAGACCACTGTCCGAGCTTGCAGGGGACAAAAGCACCAGGCTGCCTCCGCATATTAACAGCAGTGATGACACAGCTGACATGGCAGTGCTTGACCGTCATGCCAGCACCTGGAGGGTCGAGAGCTCCAGGCCGGCTTGGGCTCCAGCACGTGTCCAAGGCTATCCTGAACTGCAGAGAGAGGCCCTGTCTCACAATGTAATAATAATTATTGTTATTACTGAGCTCTTATGATGTGTCATGTAGAACTAAAACTCTATGTGCTTCTTCCTCTGAGTCCTCACATTATACTGGGAAATAGCTGCTATGATTCCCACTTTACAGATAAGAAAACTGAGGTGCAGAGAGATTCAGTGACTTTCCCACAACAAGAAAGAGGCCCACACAAGGTGGTCTTGACCCCCCAAACAAGAGCCTTTCCTCTTCCTACCTTGCCCCAAATCACATTTGTACAATGCAGCCCATCTTCCAACTGGTCTCTAAGCTTGGATAGGTTCAGAGCAGTAAAGCGGCCTGCATGCTCACATTACCAACCTGCAGTTTGGCAAGCTGTGCCCTTTGAAAATTTGCTAAAAATAATTTCCCATGCCCCTCCAACTCTTGGCTAGAATGTGCTTTTCTAAAAATTTTTTATTTATATGTCTGTGTGTGTGTGTGTGTGTGTGTGGCCAGCTCAGCCCACCAGGGGGCAGGGCGGGCTGGCATGTGGTACTGGGGCATTGAACCCCAGTTCCTGTGCTTTGCTGAGCTTGTTCTAAGTAGGTGCTTTAGACCACTGAGCCATAGAATGTGCTTTTATTTCAAAGCAAACCCTAAGTCTTGCCCTAGCATTCCTTGGGAGCCAAAGGGGGAAACAGAAGGCTGCCGAGCCACTCGCCTGGATGCGCCGAGTGAAGACCCTCGGCCCTTTAGGTTGCACAATGTGATTAACCAGTCAGTCACTCCTTTATGTCAGTACCAGGGCTGGGGTTGGGATTATCTCTAATGGTTGCCCATCACAGGGCTAATTGGGAAGGGACCTGGGGTGCTGCTGGAGTCCCCAGACCTAGGACAAGCAGATGCATAAATACTCCTTGTCCTTGACATATTCTTCGCTGTTGGCTTCCTGCTTCCCTAACGATTACCCCCAATCAGGTTTCTTCCCCTGCCCCACAGCTCCCCTTGTCCCCTTTCATTAGGGACACTTTCTCCCAGATCCTCTAAGATAGAAGGGGCGTTCTTCAGCTTCCCTCTTCAGTGAGGCTCTTTGCCATAGTTGAACTGTGTCCCCAAGAAGTTCCTGAATTGGAAACAATCCCCAAATTCATGAGTGAGGTGGGGGCTTTGGGAAGTAATCAGCATGCTTCAAGTACCCACCGAGGCAGCCGAGCCAGAGACGCTTTCCTCCACATTCTCTCCTGCCCCTCCCAGGCCATCATCTGGGGTAGAGGCCAGGTGAACCCCACTCCATTCATCTCTTTCCCTTCCTGTGCCTGCCAGTTTTCCTGGCAAACATGAAAACCTCCTCTGACCAGCTCCTGTATCTGTCTATTGTCCTGTCCTGCACTTTACGCTTCTGTGAGCTTCTAATCACAAAGTTCTCTGATCAAAAACCACTCAGTCCCCAGATCTGCAAAAAAAAGAAAAAACATTCAGGAGAGGGCCGGGGAGATGGCTCAGTAGAATAAGCGCTTGCCTGGCAAGCGCAAGGTCCCGAGTTCAATCCCTGGTACCTCAAAAAAAAAAAAAAAAAAAAAAAAAAACCACTCAGGAGTGCTTTTCCGTGGCACCTGGAGGCTGATCAGTGGCTTCAAGATGAAGCTGAACATCTCCTTCCCAGATACTGGCCTCCATAACCTCGGAAGTGGGTGATGTGTGTAAACTTTGTACTTCCTGTGAGAAGCATATAGGCATAGAAGTTGCTGCTGACATTCCGGGTGAAGAATGAAAGCATTAGATGGTAGGTCAGTAGTGGGAACAGCAAACAAGATTTCCCCTTGAAGCAGGATGTCTTGACTCTTGGCTGAGCTCGCTCACTACTGAGTCGGGAACAAACAGACCAAAAACGAGAGACAGAGATAGAGAAGAGACAGACACAGAGACAGAGACAGAGACAGAGACAGAGACAGAGACCGAGACCGAGACCGAGACCGAGACCGAGACCGAGACCGAGACAGAGACAGAGACAGAGACCGAGAGAACCAAAAAGGAAAGTGGGAAGCTGTTTGAGCTGGCTCTGTGGATGCCAATCAGGGTGTTCTCAACTTATTTATTGTAAAAGGAGAGAAAGATATTCCTGGATTGACGGTGCCTCATCTCCTGGATCCCAAAAGAACAGAATCTGAAAACTTTTCAGTCTTGCTAGTGATGGTGTCCACCAAGATGTCGTCAGCCCTTAAACAAGGAAGATAAGAATTCCAGGACTAGGGCTGGGGAGATAGCTCAGTAGAATAAGTGCTTGCCTGGCAAGCATAGGATCCTGAGTTCAATCCAAAGAATCCCAGGACTAAAGCACCCAAGATTCAGTGTCTTGTAACTCTGTGTGTCCTTCAACACAAACACTACCACATGGCTCGGAAGAAGCAGCATAATAAGAAAAACGAGGAAGAGGCTATAGAACATGCTACACTCCTATCCACATGTTTTAGTTACTTTTCTTGTTGCTGAGACAAAATACCTGACACCCAAGGCTAAGGAAGGAAAGGTGTATTTAGCTCGCCGTTTGTGGAGGTTTCAGTCCCTATTTGGCTGGCTCCAAGGCAGAGTGGCCTGCAGGAGATACAATAGTTCATGGCAGTGGAAGAGACAAAAGCAGTAAGTGCAAACAAATTAATGGGCAAAGCAAACCTCTTTACTGTCCCTTATATTATATGCAGGCTACTCACGCTAGAGCTGGTATAGCCTTCACACCCCAACCCCAGCAGTAGATAATGAACCAGTCACAAACTCTAGATTCAGCCACCTCTGAAAAGCCCCTAGCCACTGCATGAGGCTTTGGGGGGAACAACAAGACCATGACACCAAGAGAATGAAAGAAGCCAAAGATGGGCTGGCAAGATAGCTCAGCAGACTAAGTGCCTGTTTAGGCAAGTGCAGGGACCGGAGTTCGATCAATCCTGGCACCACATGCTGCACCGGCCCCATCCCCGGGTACACTGAGCCAGCCACCAAGAGCGTGCCTGGTGGCACACTCCTGTATCCCAGAGCTAGGGAGGCTGAAAACAGGAGGATCACTACAAGTCTGAGCTGCATAGTGAAACCCTGTACCAAATACATAAAATTAAAAAGAAAGAAAGAAAGAAAGAAAGAAAGAAAGAAAGAAAGAAAGAAAGATGTCAAGAAGAAATTGTCAAGTGATGCAGGCTATTTCCTCCAAGAACTTCTGTGACAAAAGTGCCCCCACACACCAGTATATCTCAGTTTCTGTTAGTTGCCCAGGTAACAGTCTCTGTTACTTTTTTCCTATAAAAATTTTATAATCAATATATAGTAGTGCTGTCCTATTAGTGAAACTCACAAGAGAGATATTCTACAAGATGATTGACCTGAACTCTTCATTAATATATCGTGACCCTTAATGTGGTAGATATAAAAGTTAATAATACCAAAAAAAGAAAGAAAGGGAGATGGCTCAGTGGAATAAGCACTTCCCTGGCAAGCGCAAGGACCTGAGTTCAATCCCCAGTTCCACCAAAAAAAATAAATAAATAAAAGATAATAATATATCATCATGGATCTTTTTTTCCTGTTCTGTTTCTTAGAAACAGCTGGTCTTGTTCTAATGGTGTTTGTAAATAAGATCACAGGGCTGGAGAGATGGCTCAGTGGTCTAAAGCACCTACTTAGAACAAGCTTGGCAAGGCATCAGGGACCGCGGTTCAATCCCCCAGCACCACATGCCAGCCGGCCCCGCCCCCTGGTGGGCTGAGCTGGCCACACACACACCCCTCTCTCTCTCTCTCTCTCTCTCTCTCTCTCTCTCTCTCTCTCAAATAATAAAAAAAAAAAAATAAGATCACAAGTCCACTTCTTGTACAGCAATTAACCACTAAGAAGAATATATGCAGTGTATTATTTGTTGAAACTCTACTTCCGATTTGATTTGAAACTGTCTCATTGCTGTTTATCAATAAAACTTTGAAAAAAAAATAAAAGAAAAAAAAAAAAGAAAGAAACAGCTGGTCACTGTGATGCATATTATAAGAACCAAGCAATAACCACCAAATCCTCTGCTCCTGTACATCCTACTTGCTTATCCTATATAAGCCCCAAACTATCAAAGATCATCCATGAAAAAACAAAAACAAACAAGCAAACAAACAAAAAGAAAAACTACAAAAGATCAAGGTCTGACATTTTTATGAGCACTGACTCCTTGTCAGCACCCATCCACATAAATAAACCTGCCTCCCAGTCCTGGGTGACTTTTGGTGGTTCTGTTGTTGTAACTAAAAAATTAAAATTAGGGGCTGGGGA